CTAATTAAAAGAAAAACTGAGTTGAAAATATTTAAGTCCTGATCGTTAACCTATTCTTTGTTCCTAGCTTGACCAAAATATGTTTACAACTGTGTATGTCAAGGTCTAGCTCACCACTTATTACGTGCGTGCATCGTTGATTGGACCGCTAGAGCTGGATGACATGATGACCCATATCAGTCAATCGGATTTTTTGTGTGAATATTACTCCCCATGGTCATATTTAATAATTTTATTATCCTTTATTTTTACATTTCGATCAACAAGTATCAAGTGTTAATTACATGAAATAGGCTAACCCATATACACGAGGTGGAATCGACAAACGTGATTAGCACGGCGACGATGAAAAGCACACGGAGGCCGTGGAACCTTATGGCTTCATGTGGGTTTTGCTCCGTACGGGTCAAGGGGCAGTAGAGCGCGAAGCGGAGAGTGAGTGTAGGACACGTGATATCCGGTGATACAGTAGTGATATTCTACATTGCTTGTGTGAGCAAGAGTGGTGATCACCAGAAGATGGCCAGAAAACAGCGTCTAGGATAGAAATTCTGTGTTACACTTGCAGAAAGCAGTACTCAAAAACAGATGATATAGGCGCAGCGTTCATACCCGATGTTCTTCGTTGCAGTTGTAATCCAACAGTGCTCATTCCCAGACAATGACAAGATAGGGCGAACATACAGGCGAGCGCGATCGTGAGTAATTGCGTGAGGCATCTAGATGTGCGTTAAGGATCCATCCTAAAGATGCCCATCACGCAGCGTCCGCACCCCGTAAATTCCGCAACTTGTCTAAATCGAGTTGGGATACGGAATGAGCCGTAACCATGCCACATTCTAGAATTACCTAAATACAGTCACTCTTCGGAAACTCAGAGGTTTGGTTCAGTACGAATTCTAAATATCAAGCCGAGTAATGAGCAACGTACGTTTTGGATTTTTTATACGCAATTTTTTAAGCATAGAAGCGTTTCTGTAACAGGATGACTCTTTTACATGATAGTTTCTATATGGTGATTTTCAAGTATGAATTTGATTCTAAGACAAACAGAAATTTGATCACAATATCATTCTAATAGTTGATTATTGCTTCGCAGATGTACCACGCTGCTTTCTAGTTGATACAGGATCGAGACACTAACCAATAAGGTCCAACCACGACAGAAGAATGCGATGAGTGGTGCGCAGATAGTTAACATACACTTTTGTATTTTAGAAATAGTCAAATTATGCTGAAATGTTATTTGTTAAAAGGAAAATTTACAAATACATCTGACAAATGCCGAAACGACGAAAATACTCCTGTACATTTATAAATGATTAAAATGTTTTTGGCTTTAGCCCATGCATTAAATGCTGGCAATGATCTTTTCTTCTGTACTTTTATACAAGATATAAATGCCCCTGGCTATAATATACATACCAACAGGAAAACTTATTGCGCACACTATCTTCGCATCAGAACACCTCACCACCGCGCCCCTATCTCAATACTTTTCCGCGCAAATTATAGCGGATCATCAGCTTACCGTTGGAACGGAGCTTGCGAACGCGAAGAACTGCCGCGAAGCAGTCAAAGTGAGTGCCATCGCTAGACGGTTCAAGCTCGCGGTGATCAAAAGTAACATATGACGCTTCACAGTAGCTCGCGTGCAAGAAGGTTGCTCCTGGAGGATACACGCTGCAAAGCTTTCCGACGCACCAACATTTACTATCAGGACTCTGCGGGACAAACACTCTTGTCAAGCTGTGACTTACCTTGGCCACCGCCAGGCATCTTTTTTTGGGTTGCGAGTAGAGTCGAGGCCCGGTTGCGTGACAATTCCCAGAACAGACCAAAAATTAACCATTCAAGACGTTCGCCACAAGCATGACCTAACAATTTTATAAAATTTAGCTTGGAGAGGACAAGCGAGGAGCATGTAAACTTTTCGTGGCTCCTAAGAAAAAGCTTTTAGAAGTCTTCCGGCGTAATGAAGGCAGATTTGTTTGACACACCCAGGCGAGAGCCGTGGATGGCTGGTTTTGTTATAATTTTCCTGCCAAAAATCTCAGTATTTTGCTGATGCAATGACTTCTGCTATAGGAAGCGTTGCGGCTGCGTACACGGCTGGGCCCGAGCATCAATTTCCGCGCCTTTTTGTTGCCTACCAAGCGTCGATTGCAGGATTTAAATCTGGATGCCGTCCACTACTGGGCCTTGATGGAACCTACCTTCGATCAAAGTATTTCGGTAATCTTCTAGCGGCGGCGGCGCTCTCTTTCCGCTGAAATGGCCGTTGTCGATGCTACAAACGACGAGAGCTGGTTTTGGGTTTTATCAGATCTACGGACGCTTCTGGAAGCAAATGCTCCAAATTTGCAGCGTCTGACCTTCCTTTCCAACCATCAGAAAGGGCTGATCAACGGAGTTCAGGAAAATTATTCTGATGTAAACCGTGGCTTTTGCATGCGGCACCTCAGTGAAAACTTTTGGAAGGTAGTCAAAATTGCATTATAGTAATGAAGCTCTTGTGGCAGGCCACTTATGCATTGACAGATGTGATATTCGACACTAAATTGAGCGAGATTAAAGAGAATTTTAGTGAAGCTAAGTAGTGAATTGTGGACATAGCCACAAGTCTTTGAGCCAATAGCGCGTTTAATAAAGAAACAATTGGACATCTGACCTCGAGTTTCGTGGAATTGCTTAACAAAGGATTCTGGGAAGCCCTTGGGATTCCAATCGTAATGATGTATGCAGCGGTAGGTTGCTAATGAAGTCTACTGAATGGATTTAAACTACAAATTCTAATCGTTTTGGGATACTTTTATACTGTGGGAAAGGATGCGCCAGCAGTTAATGGTCTGGTCTATGATCGGCAACGGAAGACAGCTGAATGGCGTCGCTACTTGTTCTCTCAGTTGAGAAAAAAGGTCGGCACTGCCATCGAGCGCACTAGGCACTACCGGATACTACGTGCGGCTGGTCATAAATTCCAAGGTGATTTCGGAGGACCAGATATCTGACTGTCAATATTAGGCAACGTGAGTTCTCGCTCAAGCGGTGGCAGGTAAAAGGTGAGCTTGCTCAGATATAATCTGCAACGTATCCTTGATGAATCGTTCTATTATAAATAGCACATATATCACCACTTATTCATCTTCACCACTCAGCAGCTGCGCTACGATCTTGTCGAATGAGTGTGCGGCAGCCAAGCAAAAAAATCTTCACGGTGGTTGTATAACGGCGCACGTACGCAGAAACGGTACACCCACTTGGCGATGAAATTTTTTGCTGAAATTTTAGATAAGTACAGAATAAAGTACGTGCATTCCCACCGAAGAAACGGCGCCCACCGATGGACCAAAAAAAACACAGATTGCTCAAAGTTACCGTGAGCTCGTATCAAATATTCCTCCACAGCGGCTTCCTTAAATTTTATACCTAGGAACGGATTTAGAATGGAGCCTGCGTCGTTGCCATTCGTAACCCTCCTTGCGCGGCATCGTCTGCTCTATTATCTTCCTGTTCCTGCTCGGATAGCTGTTGCAGGCGCCTCTTTTCGTCCTCCTTGCCGGTCGCGGCTAGCTACATGGTGTGTAGATCAAAACGTCTCCAGGCCAGCGACGTTTCAGCTACGCTGATTTTGTAGGTGGTGGCGACCTGTTTGTCGCATTTGCCGAGCCCAAGACAAACACGCTGCTTGGTGTGCACTCGATAGCTTTTTCTGTGGTCTTGCTCGCCACCTACGGAGCAGTCCGGGTTGCTATGTACTTGGATGAGCACGTTGGCAAGATCGCGAATGTAGAGTCCATCGACTTGCGCCCAGAATAAGGCGGGCTTCAGCGTGCGCGACGCCAGGATATTTGTGCCTCCATGCGCATCGCGAAGAATCACGCGAATCGATCCAGCAGAAGATCGCAGTGCTCCTGGTCTCGGGCGACAATCCGCGCCAACGCGTATGGCACAGGTAAACAAGGAATCCTCGCCCAGCTCAAGGAATGACGGTCCTCGCAAGCCGGCCAGGGTCATGCGCACGCAGTAGTATAACAATTCGGCGACAAAGGGTAGCGCTTGAGCCGGTGTGTAGATCGTACCAGCGCGATGATAGACAAACCCGAGACACGTGTCGTGGTCCACATCGAGCACGGCGAGTCTTGCCTAATCGACTGAGTGTACATGATGCGTGACATGAGCGAAACAGGACCACACTGCCGAGAACTTCGCCAATTTTACTCCAGGTGCGTGATTGCGTCACACAGAGGTTGCAGAAGCAGCACCACTGTGGCCGTCTACTTCCAGTGCTAAATGTCGAGGATGACGTTGCGGACCGGTTCCTCCATTTCCACATCCTTAAACTTATTATCATAATCGATGGCATGCGGCATGCATTTCAGCACAAATTTTACAAGCAGGTTGCGCTTAATCATGGCAAGAAAAGTGCGCCAGTGTAATATCGTAAGCAAAATCAAACTGCATGTCTTGTGCAGCTTCTCGACGCGGAAGACGTCGAACATCTATGTCAGCAGGTGCACGCTGTTGATTTTGTTTACGATAAAGACATTGACCGAGACAATCTGCTTGATTTTAGGCAGCTTTAGCCAACCCATGCAAAGGTTGTGTTCGCCGTGCGCCGAACCCAAACATGAACGTGAACAGGCCAAACTCGAGCTCTCCCGGTGCAAGCTTTTTATAACACGAGGCGAATCCATGCTATTAGTCCACATCGAAATCTTCCTTGAGGTCTGCATCGGCGTCCATGGCGACTTCATTAAGCAGGTCGACTTCGTCCTCGACAATATTCCAACGGCACACGAAGACGATAAGGTGCGTCTTTCGGCCGCTCGAGCAGGCTCATCGCCCTCGTACAATCTCATTTCATGAAGAAGTGCATAAAATAAAGTGAGTGGCCCGCACGCCATCATGTTAAGGACCTGCTTACCCGCCTCGTTCGTCACGCCATTGAGCGTCAACAAAAAATATTCGAATGTGCCGATCACCCGGATTGCCTCCTTTTAAGCGAAAATGTATTCGATGTTGAGCAGTTGACCGCCGATGGCGTCAGGTTCTGGGAAGCGGTGCGAGGGGCGAATCTTGGTCAGCCACGCCTTCCAGTGATCGCCTTTTAAAAGGGTGTTTGACTCCGCTGGGCAATGCATCGTGCACGCCAGCAACTCGTCGGCTTCATTTCGATCATTGACAGTTATAGAGTCACACAAAGCAGTTGTAGTGAACGACGTGCGCATCGACGACAACAGTGGAGGGCGCTTGCTGGGTCTGACCTCAATTTGCTCGATTTCCTCGTCCGACACATACTGGTACGATATGCGCCCTACGGGCAGCAATCCCAACCTCTCTATAACTGGTAATATGGTAATCAAGTCGGCAGACAATAGCATCGGGAAAGCGAGCGATGACTGGCGTACCCCGGGGCAGTTGTCGTTGTTGGCAAGCCGATGAAACCCTTGGGCACCCCAGGCGAAAGTCTTTCCGCAGTGTTTGTATTCAGCCAGGGCGCATTTCCTGTTGCCCATCGCTGGCATGCGATTGAACGGAAGCATAAGCGCCGAGATTGGTCGCCCGGCCATCGGGGAAGGAGATGAGGTTGGGAATTATGCGCTGGGAATATGAAACACAACAAAATTGCCTTTTATTTCAGGGCTCATTTTAATCGCCATTTGGAAGAATGTTCATTCTAACTCAATAAAATGTACGCATCCAAATTCGTGACTTTAAAAAGGGCTCGTCGTGAGCTTCTTCTTGTTTTTCTGTACCCATCCGTGTCCATTTGACTGGACACGAGAGCACGAATGGTCAAGAAGCGCACGCTGCGTCCGCTGCCCGTGTTTGACCAGAAGGCGCTGCCGGAGTTTCTACAAACGCACGACTTCAAGGAGGTCCACGCCCTGACAATATGGAGGTACCTAGCCCAGCATCCCGAGGCTTCGTTTGCGGATATTCCAGGCATCCCCAAGACCCTTCGGACGCAGCTACGCGAGCACTTTGTGCCTTTTACAACGTCCGTGACAACGGAGCAGCGCTCGGCCGATGGTACTGTGAAGCTGCTGCTGCAATTGCAGGACAAGCACGAGATCGAGGCGGTGATCATGCGTCATAAAGGCCGCAATACGCTCTGCGTGAGCTCCCAAGTGGGCTGTCAGATGGCCTGCACGTTCTGCGCCACGGGCACGCTCGGGATCGTTGCGGATCTGTGCAGTGGTGAGATCCTCGAGCAACTTGCTCATGCCAATCGCGTGGCGCCAATTCGCAATGTGGTGTTTATGGGCATGGGCGAGCCGCTGAACAATTATGACGCCGTGTTGGCTGCCATTCGAGCTATGACCAACGTCTTCGGACTAGCTCCGAAGCACCTTACGCTGTCAACGGTGGGGGTGATCCACCGAATCCGACAGCTATCACATGATGCGCCGCTTGTGCGTCTGGCGCTGTCGCTGCATGCTCCGACGCAGGAGATGCGCAGTGAGATCGTACCGACATCTAAAGCCTACCCGTTGGACAAACTCATGGCAGCGATTGACGACCATCTTGCAATGCAGTACGTGGCTGCTATTGCTATTGCTACTGCTGTTGCTATGTTGGTCTTAGAAGCGAGCTGAAAGGTTGTAACGCGTGATACTGTCTGTCTTGCGTTGTTGTGCTTCTCTTCTGCAGGGAAGGACGTCTCGTGATGGTGGAGTACTGCATGCTCGCAGGCGTCAATGACTCCATCGACACTGCCCATAAACTCGGCCAGCTGCTTCGTAATCGATCGGTGCATGTGAACCTGATCCCATACAACACGACCGATGTTGGTGCACAGTTCCGCTCGCCGTCATCCGAAGACATTCGCGCCTTCCACGCAGTGTTACGTGACCCGTATAACCTCAAAGCTACGATCCGCGAGAACCATGGCACTGACATTGACGGTGCATGTGGTCAATTGGCTCTGAAGAACAAGCCTGATGGGGATGCTGTGCAGCGGGACATTGAGGACCTCGGCCAACGGAGACCCAAGAGCTTGCAAGCAAAAAACGAGAAGCGGATTCCGACGCCGGACAGCGAGAATATGGACGCGTCTTCCGTCCCGACGTCGTTTTTTCCATCATGGCTGGCGCGTGGAAACGACTTTGTGGACGAGCACCAGCAAGCTATTGGACTCGCTTTATTGGGTGCAGCGATTACGGTGTTTGCCATCGGAATCGCTCGGGGTGGACGTGGTCGTGTAAATTAATACCAGCTGCCGTCGAAGGCGAAGCGTGAATGCTTATTGTATCCGTGGATGTGGAATGGCTGTTTACCAGGGCATCTTGGTGGTGGTGTGCTCTAAAAAGCTGGTGGTACTGGCCGGTAAGGTATCGGTGAGCAACCTGACAAATGCACTCAATCCCTCAATGTATTTACTTGGTTTCTTGCTAAACTACAAATTGCTATCCTCTTCTTTCCTTGCGTGCTGTCAAGTGCTTCAAGTCTTGTCCTGCAAAGGCGATCAATCGACCGATCCACTGCTGTCTCAACCTCAGCAAGTTGCATGCGATAGAGATCAATCGACCGAAAAACTCTTGCACTGCTGCTATGGCCCCGCGTTGCTGTGGCTGACATTCGTCTGGCCTGCTGTACTAAGCAAACACCTCAGTACCGATGGAGTGAACTTTGATGCGCGGAAATACTTGATGGCGTAGAAAGAGTCTTCGAAGAGCGCCACAACCTTGAAAAAAGCAAAGCTGCTTGCACTCACGTTGCGGTCTGGATGGATCGGATCCTCAATGACCAACGCTGGCTTGCCAACTTGTGACCGGTGGCTTTCCGCAAGTCGGTAAATATACCCTCCATCCCGCACGGACAACCCATTCTTGCTGTAGTCGAAGATCAGGCCGAAAAACTCGAGAATCATCATTGTGTGTTCGCCAAGTGACGCCGGAGGCAAATGCGACAACACTTTCGCGGATTCGTCGTCACTGTCCATTAAAGAAGAATGGCTGCACGACGAACTCGAGTCTTCCGTGTCGGCGTTGCTGCTCGATACGCTGACTGCATCCAACGAGCGTGTATCTTGCGCCTGTTTCGTAGCTGTCGTGGCATTTTTGCCATTTGATGCCGCGGACGGCAATGCTGCAGGTGCGGCCACTGCAGCAGCATAGCTATATGGCGGCCCAGCAGGCTTCTTGTTCTCTGACACTTTGACAATCCCAGCCGCGACGGCAGCATAGCTAAATCGAGGCTTCGTCGCAGGTTCTTGAGATGCACCGTCCAAAGTTTGCTGCGTTTTTGCACGAGCTACAACTGTCGCATACGACGAGGCTGGGGCTGGCAACGACACAGCAGTCGCTTCAACCCCGTTTGACTTGGTCTCTTCTGCTGTCCTTTGGCTCACTGACGTCAAGTCACTCTGTATCCGTCGTCCAGGCTTCATCGTCTGACTTGACGCTGCAAGGGTCGACGGCAGGGGTGGCAAGGCCCCTGACGCATACACAGCAGCTGCTTGAAAGCACGAGTCGCCGTTCCGCCAGAGCTGAGAAAAGTGAATCAGCATGAGCACGAGCGAGTACGAGCTCAGTCCTCCCGTGTACGCGTCGTTCAAGTCTCGTTCCCGCAAGAGCTGCTTGAATACAATGGCGAGCGGGTAGAGCTCCGGTATCTTGGCTGTGTAGCGTTTAATCAAGTCACGGGCGAGCAGGCCACTGTGTGTGGCAGCCGACTGGAACGTAATGTCAATGGGTACAGACGTCGTGGCACTCAGGACTTTCAGTACCGGTACTTTGGCGGTATCGAGTACCACGAGGGACGCGACCCAGTGCTTCGCCTGCAAGAGAGTCGCCAGTTCACGTAACTGCTCGGTGGTCGTCTGTGTCGCGTCTTCTGATTGGCTACAACAGGATGCTGGACGCGGAATCACCACGAGGTCGACGTCACTATCAGGAAGCCACAAACCTGTGGCGTAGGACCCAAACGTCTCGACTTTCGCCTCTGGCCAGAGGGACAAGACACTGGTCCGCACATTAGCGATCGTCTCTTCAATTGGCACGGCCAATTGCTTGACCGTCGACTGTACGGACGCCGTGTACGCAACAATCTCGTCGTGCAACGCATCCGTGGCGCGTTGTCGGTTGGCCACGATTGACGACCGCGTCTCGTCCACTCGCTTTGGCTTGGCTCCCGACTTAATAAAGTTGTTGGACACGCGACAGGACGAGGCGGACGAGAGACCGGACGAGGGTGCGAACTTAGGCGAGTCGCGCGTGACGCGTTCGTGATGCAAGGCGTCAAGCGGACGGCCAGTGAACTGTTGCGATTGCGGTCGTGTTGTCGTGGATGTGGTCGTGCCATGATCGCGGTGCAACGTCTCGTGGTCGTCATTGATGATCTGGCGTCGACGGCCGTCCATTATTAGAAAGCAGCGTCGCGTATTCTGTTATAGAAGAAGGGGGGGCCAGGGTTGGCGTGTCGACAACACGGTATGTATGGGGCAGTCGCGCTGGTACTTTGATAAGAAGTCCTCGTCGTAGGAGTGAAGTAGTCTTAGTGAGAGGTTCGTCGGTCGCGCGCGAATGTGTCGTCCTACTACTGGCCGCGAGAATCGGAGATAAGCGAAGAGTGTGCCAATTCAAGTGGACCACACTATCCTCGCCCCGCGTCGTTGCTTCCGTTTTCGTTCCAAGCGCTGTGCGTCGCAAGGAATGGCTTTTTTCTGTCTCGCTGTGATTCTGAATCGGCAGCGACTCACGCGGTCGGAAACATGGCCTGACGTATCTTTTCGCTCCAAGCGCGACAGTCCCTCGGTATGGTACTACGCCACCAGATACTGGATACCAGATACCACGGACCCCAAGCCCTCGTTTCCTTTCCTCATCCACTTCTTCGGTCTCTCCTCGATCCTCGAAACAAGCGGGGTGGGGGTTTCTATTTCCACCAGCAGTCGCCTTCTACTTCCAAGCGCTACTTCAGCCGCTCCGCGCCAGACGTCACCGACTCGCTCGCTCGCTCTCGCTCGCTCTCTCTCGCGTAAGCACAAGTCGCGCTAATAATAGCTGCTACGAGAACGGCGTCACCCCCTCTCTCCCTCGTCCACGTCACTTTGTCTTTCCTTTTTCGAGTGGACGGAATGGCGGACGACCGCGTCGTCCAGTGGCTGCCGGACGTCGCAGCGCTCGCCGTCCTCAGCGTGGCCGTGCACTACCTCCTCGGTCTCTACGGACTCCTGGCCGCGTTGCTGCTCATCATTTTGCTCGACCGCGGCGTTTCCCGCAAATCCCTGCCAGTGGACGGGCGGACGTCGTCCACTCTCCTAGCGGACGCGTCCACCAAAACCCCAGCGGACGCCATCCACCAAGTCCGGCCCGAGGATCCGCGCAGCCCGCCGCGTCCACCAGCACGACTGCAGCAGCAAGCCCACCATTTCCACGATGAAGACGAGCCACCGTCTCCTCCTCCTCCGTCCGCTCTCGTCGTCCGCGACGTCGCGAGCGTCCACCAGACGTCCACCATGTCGTCCCCCACTCCGTCCATCCAGCTCAACGCCCGTACGCCCGTGGCCATTGAGACGGAGCTCTTCATCGGCCACGCGCTCCTATTGGTGCGCACCGAGCCCGCGCCTCCCCAGTACGCCGCGCTGTTCGCCAACAAGCGCCGTCTCTTTTGGATCCAAGTGCAGGGCCAGTTCAAGCAGCCGCCGCCCGGGCCCATTTTCCTCGGGGGCGAGCTGCCCGCGCCCATCGCGCTCGGCGTGTTGACGCGCAGCCTCGCGCTCGTGATTATGCGCCTGATCCGGCGTCTTGTGGGCCGCGTGAGCTTCAGCTTTGGACGAGACGGTCCGGACCAGGAGCTGCCAGCCGTGGCGTTCCCGCTGTTCCAGTCGGTGGACCAACTGGTGGAGACGCCGGCGGGGGCGACGCCCCCCATGCTGGGCACAAGCGACTTTGGCGAGCAGGACGAGGAGCGGGAGCGACGGAGACGGACGCCCATTGGGGCCGAGACGCTGCGGGTGGGACCGACGTACACTTTTGATTTCCATACCATGTACGTGGATCTGGCCAAGTGGGAGACGGCCAACTTGCCCAGCGGTCTCAATGCGATGAACTTGGCCACGTTTTTCGACTCGTTGCCGCTGCGTTTGGTGGCGTACGCAGTGCGTCCACCGGGGACAGGAGCGGACGAAGTGGCGGCGGTGGACCGCCATTGCCAGCGGGACAAGGAGTACTTGTTCTCGTTCGAAGTCGCGTTTGATAAACGTCGACGGGCGAGGAGTGGACGACCTGGTGCGACGAGTGAGCACGAGATGAGACGAGACGGACCTCGACATGACAGTACTGGACAGGGTTCGATCTTGGCTGCTGGACTTGGATTGGGTGGGATGACGGGCTCGGAGATGAGCACGATGAGCACGTCGTTGAGTGATGCTAGTTCCCTGACGGAAGAGGATGATCCTGTGCTGGCACAAGAACACGCCGACTTTATGCGGTTTGAACATGCTCGACGACTGGGGCAGCTCTCGTTTTCGTACTTGTGTTGGATGGAGGAAGTCAATGTGGCGTCGGATGTGCGGCGCGTCCACTACGTGTTTGCAGTGAAAGATAAAGTGAGTGAGTATGACGACGACGCACTTGATGAGGGCGATGACGACGACGGCGACGACGAGGTCACGCAACTGCAGTCGCGCTACCGGCTTGCTATTGTCAGTAGCTACGAGCTGCGCCACTTGTTGATGAGCCGTCACGCTTTACGTTCTAGCAAGGCAGCGGAAGAGCTGGCAAAGTTGCGCTTCCACAGTCGCTCACGTATTGCCAGCTATAGCACGATCTCGGCTGAAGCGCAGCAAGTTGCATTGCACCTTCAGAGGCTGGCTAGTGAGCCACTTCGACCATCAGCGCCGCCGTCGTATGCCAGTGATTGCACGAGTGATACGGATTCGTTATGCGGAGGACGAAGTGAAGAAGAACAGAAAAGCCTTGACGAAGTGCGTCTTGTTGTAGCCCAGGCTGCACTTTACAGATGCCTCACGAAGCGTCAGAAGCTGCAAGAGTCTTGTACTTCCGGCATGAGATTGTCTCCATCTCGAATCGGCGTAAATCTGAGCCGCCACGACCGAGAAGATATGGGTGTGATTTTTGAAGGCGTGGTGTACCGCTACTACGCTGCTGAATTGTTACGACAGGAGGTTTTGTTGCTCACAAACGACGCTCTACTGTTTTATCGATCGTTCGCTCCCAGCGCTGAAAAACAAGTGCCACGCTCGCACATCATTGGTGCCCGAGCTGTGGCGATGCCTTCGACTGCAGCGTATCTTGATGGTGCGAGTGGGACTGATGGAGCTTTCGCGTTGCAGATCAGCACGTTTGCCGAAGAGATTGTGCTATGTGTTGGCACGTGTTCTGCGCGGGATGCTTGGGTGCGAGGCATTTTGCAGTACTACACTCCCAAGACCAATTTCGATCGTGCGCGGGATGGGGAGATATGCATCGACTTTGCTGCATGCACTGCGCTTCGGCCCGCCAACCGTGTTGAACTTAACTCACGACTGCTTTTTCCGCAGTTGAAGTCTCAAGATCTGCAGAGGGGCGAAACCAGTGACCGAGCGCGCATTGAAACAATTTCCACTGGCACTGTATCTGGTGTACTCACGCTCGTGGAGCGTACAGTGACGCGTGCAGTGCACATCCTGAATAATGCGCAGCAGCTCTCGGTGCACGACGTGCTAGCGTTCTTAGATGACGCAAGCGCGTTGCGCGCGGTGGACTTGAAGCTACTACAGGAGTCGGGCTCTCATGAAGAACAGATGGCTTTTTACTTGAACCTGTACCATACGGTGCTTGCTCACGCGATGATTGCGCACGGCTTCCCGAGAGGCAAAGGTCAGTGGAGTCACTTTCTCACGCGGTCATGCTATATATTGAGTCGTGGTCCAGAGGGGGTGCAGGTCAGTCTGTCACTGGCAGAGATTGAACACGTGATTCTGCGTGCTCGCATGCCTCACGCTGATCTTCCTCATTTGACCGTGAAGAGCGTCTTGATGACGGCAAATGAACCATCGAATCGTCTGGAGGGACTTGGTGTCACGCATCCCGATTTCCGTCTCAGTCTGGCACTGGTAGTAAATCACCCTGGCAGTGAAGAAGTAGTGATTTACGATCCGGCGTCTGTGCATGATCAGCTGAATGCAGTTGTGCGTTCGCTGCTTACGTGCTCTAGCGCACAAGGGCATTTGGAAATAAGGGAGGACTCGCACACGATAGTGTTGCCGCGCGTGTGCGAATGGTACCGTCGTGATTTCGGTGGGACTGATTCAAGTGCGTCCGCGATCTACACTCGCAAGCTCCTTGGATTCATGGACAGCAAGTTGCAGCTACAGGTGATCAATGCCATGGGTCTCGACGACACTCCGCTGCGCACAAAGTTCCGTTCGTTCAAGTATACACCGAAATCCACGCTCGTGCTGGCCAGGAGTCGGCGACCATCAGTGTCCGGCTTCAGCGTTGACAACACTGAGTCTGCTCAGACCGACGAAAGCGGCGGGATGACGCAACTCTAGCCTTGCGTTGGCGCTACAGATGTGGTCCTCAGGTGCTGCATGTACATTACCAATAACGAGTTCGTTTATACATCGATTAGAGCCCAGTGCCTTCCTTGTCCAAAGTCCCTTCCGTCGACACTCTCTACAACCGACCGCACCGTTAGAATCACCCTCAACACACAGGTTACAAGCCACTTCAACATCTCGTCTATCGATGTACATTTTCCACTCAGTCTCTCTCTGATCCAACGTAAACAATAATAACACGCCCTTGGACGTTCGACCTAATACGTCGCGCGGGGTACCTCCATTTCTACCCACGCCGTCCTTTACTCTATCTTCGGGTCCATATGCTGACCCGGTTTAACACTTTCCAACATCTTGACGATTCGCTCGTTGCGCACCATCTTTTGCTCCAGTATCTTGAAATGGTGGCAATCCCGGTTCGCACTAGAGGAACAGTAAAATAGCAGCGCCAGGTTAGTACTCGTCCAGCTTCAACCACAAGCTCCGATAGCTGCGAACACACTTGTCGTAAGGCGGCACCATGATATCTAGCATCGCACATCCAATATCAGAGCTCGCCTGAATGTTGTGCAAGTTGAACCGACGAGGGTCTAACCACGTGGTCGATTCCGGGCCAAAGTGACCTTCCCGACTGATTCGTGCCCATGACACGGATCCAGCTTCCGGGTTCACAGCACTAGACAGCACAAGTTATGAGTGATCTAGTAGTGTACCCAAGAAACGCAAAGATGACGTACTCGGAGCTAAAAGTAGCGTCCTCATAGACGACTTCGCTTCCTGCTTCCAGCATCTGTACTTCTGCGTCCGACAGGATATCGTACGACGTTACAGTAGCAATCCCATACAATCTAGCAGCAGCAGCATCAGCAACAACGCCATATGAGTGTATCTACTCGTCTTTGCCGTGACGAGAAAGAGATTGCAAAACCATCTTCTTACACTCTTGTGACGACGCTCATGCCTGGGTGGTTATGCAGCGGGATGGTGCTGTTCGGCGGCATGAAAAAGATTCCAATATCGATATAGTCCGACTCCCACAGCTTCCAGTAGTGGACGTCGTTCATTGTGCGCGCAATCTGTGGCGTCGGGACGTGGATCCCAAAATGATCTGCTCGCAGTGCATTGCACAGCGTCACAACTGGACGCAGCAGGCTCTCGACCTGTTTCAGCGACAACTTGGTGTTTGGAAACTCGGCTCTTGCAACCCCAAGCTGCGCTAATGAGTGCGTGTGCATTGCTAGCATCTGATGCAAAACAAGCTGCACGCCCGAGCGACCTTGTAAACTAGCGCTGGCAACCTGCTCGGCTTCAAGCGCTTTTCGTGCCTCATTTGCAGCGATTGCAGCAGCAACGAGGACAGTTGTCGAGGCTGGAGACGAACCAGACAGGGATTCGCCATTGTTGCATAAGTTGCCGTCACTATCGGCCTCGATGCAGGGGCGAACCGATCGCGGACTAATGATGGGACTACCACTCACTTTAAAGACATTGTGCAACTCGGTAGACGCGGCATTTTGGCCTGGAGGACGCGCCCGTGAAGGGTCAATGCGCTTAGTATCTTTCTGTCTCGGCATCACGTGCAATAGTGACAAGAAACAGTGTAACCGTGCAGGTGCAAGTTACCGCTACAATGTCGTTAGAGTTGCGAGTTGGTGTGGCACGTCTGCTCGAAAATGGAACAAGTGCTCGGAGTGTCACGGGCAGCAGAACAGTAGACGAGACATGATGACCGTGTTTTTGCACCGACGTAACGACTTAATCGAGTCAGTACGTCAAAAAAGGGTATAAACATGCGGCACAATGTCTTTGAAGCGAGAGAGACATGCACAGGACTGACTGAGAGGTTGGAGCGGATCAGATGAGGACGAAGAAACGTGAGGTTTGGAAACACGTTGCGACTGTAAACGTGCGACGGAATCAACGTTTGCAACGGGCGTGGTCCTTTATTATAGTAGTGGCAAGTATGGAACGCTCAGTCTGCTTATTTCAACGAACTTTACTGCATACGAAAGCAGAAATGATTACATGACGTGCAACGTGCGTGATGTAATCATTTCTGCTTTCACATAGTAAAGTCCGTTGAAATGAGCAGACTGAGAGCGTTCCACACTCGCGCTTTTTGACCGTATCCCTAGCGACTCATGCAGCTAGTCGAGCACCAACGGTGTCTTCACTTCCCTGCACCATTTTTTGCGCATTCCAGCAGCTCCAAAGTTTGCACCTTACGCCTTCCTTTTCTCGCGACGTTGAACAACGTCTGACCCGAAGCTTCAAGCACGTCAATGTCATAGTTTTGCTGTTCACTCCTTCACTCACGATAGCGATCGACGACGCTGCCGCATCAAGATGTCTTTGAAACGATAAATCCCGAAATCCAGCATGACGTGGAGAAACATACACACGTAATCGTTTCTTGCACAGCATGGAGCAGCATCTTGTAGTCTGCTGCGCTAAAGCTCGTTAACACCTCGATCTCAAGTTGCTCATACTCACAACGCACCCTTTACACTGATTTTCTCCATGTTGGGGCGCGGTTGGGCTTACCTTGCTGGTACCCTTTCCCAACTTGGCAAATCTGCATGGACACGAAGGCTTCATTGTTCAAGTCGCTGTAAGCAATTAGCTCGCCTTCTTGGGTGGATCCGCGGGTGATGAGCATTCGAAAACTACGCACATACGCACCAGAAGTAGAGCTTTGCAAGCAAGCAAAGTGACAAGCGTCCATACGAAATGTCATAGGGCAGCAGCTCGGACGTCGGAAAATGTCATGATTGAACCTTCCGCCGCGATCAGCCCCTCCCACACCGTCCAGCTTGATTCCCTGTCAAGGCGCATAGCGGGTTGATAGTGCGCAAAGCTAGAATGACGCAAGTTACTGAGAGGTCTCTATTTGGCGCTTCACAGTGGCTATCTGCGTCGCGAAAGCAGCCTCGCCGACTGACAAAGCATCTTCTTCCGTACTTGTCAACTCCGGCATCTCCTTCAAGCACGCCAAAATGGCTGTTGCAGCAGTCTCCAGCTTACTCACAGCCTCTGCTAGTTCATCCGTTCCAATAGGCGGGTACAGCGCTGCACCAAAGTCCACGATCGCATCCTGTGCTGACGTGTAACTCACGTCCAGCCTGGCTGTCCATTTAAGCAAATCGTCCTGGCCACTCGGTATCGTCAACTTTCGGATCGTCAGCACACCCCGTTTCATAATGGCAGCGCACATCGACAGCAGCTTGAGGCTACTCTTGAACAACGCCCGCTCATCATCCATCAAGCTCGAGTCGAACGCAAATTCGTCGTCTTCCTCCACGTCGTCTAATGGTGCAGCTTGGCTATCACCTTCGTCTTGCTCAACAAGAAATTCCTTGAGCTCATCCACGGTCGAGTTCAGCATCGCAATACACTGTTGGCACGCAATAAGAAACCGCCGTCACAGTGCAAGCATAAACACGTCAAACATAAACAACACACCGAAGAAACACCCATTAACGCAGGTCTTCTTTCTTGTACCTGCAACATACTGCGTTTTGTCGCTACGCAATTAGACTTGGACACACTCAGCGAAGAGTACTCCCACACCCGACCCGTGAGCTGCGGCACACGGTCGAGAGATCCTTTCTCAATGCTTTGTACAAGATCGTGCACACTCTTGATCAGCCGACTACAACAATCAAGACACATCCACTAATCGTCAGAACTCCTCGTACCCCCACATCAACTGTTTGATCCAGCAATGCATTTGTTGGCCCGTACATTGTAGCATGAATCACTTCCGTTGCAAGCGACGGTCCAGCTCCACAAAAGAGAGCAACTGTCGTAGCGGACAGTAGCTGTTCACATGGCTTGGCCAGTGCTTCGCAGATACTAACGCCTTCCTCCTCACTTGGTGGTCTACTGTACACGATCGAGAACTTGGTCACAGTCTGTCCAATTGTGGCAGCAGCCTGTACATAAAACCAAAAAATAAATAAAGTGTCTAAAATTAGTACAAAGACTCTAGAAATAAATACGAATAAAAATGTAGCCATCATATACGCATCACGCTCCAGAAACCGCGACGTCACGTGTTTACCGTGACAAAAACCTCCCGCGCAACATCAAAGTCCGTCTGCTGCAGCCAAAACGTGGGCCGGAACCGATGCTTGTTCTGGTTCTTGTCCTGGAGCTCCTGGAGCTGCTGTACGTACGTCGCCAGCTGCACGCCAATCGCTGCCAAGCCACTCGTCATCTGTGCTCCTGTTGCTTCGTAGGAACCCAAATTAACCACTGAGGCACGAACCCAAACAAAGTTCCCCAAAAAGTATCTAAATTATGCCTATCAAAAAAACAAGTCCATCCTGCTCATTTAAACCGGTACAAAAACGGTATGTTGGGTGGACCCCTCCTCTCCCCGCTCTCTCTTAAAAAAAGAAGCAATAGCGATTTGTGTTGTACCGCGAATCGCTCGATATTCCCAAACATCCACACGATTTTTATTTTATCCACTTCTGATACGACGGAGGTCACGAACTGATCATGATCAGGAACACTCGAGGCGGCGAGACCGACGACCTGCTGGACGAGTGGCAATGGCCTGCAGACTGCACCGCCCAGCGCGAGATGGAGCGCCACTTACGCTGCCAGATCTGCGGCGACTTTTTCCACGGTCCAGTGCTGCTGCCCTGCTCGCACACCTTTTGCTCGACGTGCGTACGTCGCTTTCTACAGAGCAAAGGCGCTCACGGGTGCTGTCCCGAGTGTAAGCAGCCGGTGGCGGCCCGTGACTTGGTGCCGAATCGGGCGTTGGAACAAGTCGCGCTTCTGTTTAGCGCTTCCAAGCCGGAGCTGCTCAAGAGACTGCAAGGGATAGTCGCGCGGGGATCGATCACGTCAGATGTGCTGGACGTGGAGAGCACGAAGGAGAAGGAGATGAAACAGCTGGACAGGGTTCAAGAGCGGATGCCATTGCTGTCGTACAGCGTCATGAAGGACAAAGAAGTGCGGAGATTATTGGACGCGATTCATGTGCGAGTCCCGACGAAAAATCGGGAGGAGATTATCCAGATTCACAAAGAGGTGAGGAAGAACAATTTGCTGTTTTCGCTTGCTCGGGTTGGCATGTTCAGCTTTCTTGCGGTGATACCTGGGTTGTAGTTCATGTGGTTTGTCTATTTGCGTTAACGATTGGTGTCTGTGTATGATGTGGGTGGGTGTGTCTAGTTTGTGCTGCTGTCGAATGCGCAGGCGGATTCCGTGAACCCAAAGAGCACGGCACAAGTGCGAGAGGAAGTCGTGCGGAACCATCATGCGAGGATGCAGCAGAAAGCCAAGACTGATGCACTGAGACGCATCCAAAGTGGAAGCGACAATTCTGAAAGCGGAAATATCGCGGCATCGCCGGCGTCAGGTGTATCGGTACAGATGCGTGCAAATTTCGACAAACTGCGACAGGATATTGCTGACAGAAAAGCAGGCAAACGGCCTCCAACGACGCCGTCACCCAGTGTCTCTTCCACTGATACCCCACAAAAAAAGGCATCAGGGAGAGATGCAGCAACGTCGGTGGGTGTGTGGCGTCACTTTTGCGCATTGGACACGAACATGAAGCAGGAATTTTACGTTAACTCCGTGACACATGAAATTCGCGTGGAGCTGCCGCCTCTATCTGTGCGAGAACAATCGCCCGCAAACCGCTACGATGACCTGAGCGATGTCGTGCGTGCCGTCGCTGAGAGAGACCCAGCAGATATAGGTTGTAGTGACGAAGCGAAGGCAGTGACTCCTCTCAGGGCGAAGGGAAAAACCAAGCGGGCAATTGCTCCAGCATTTGCTTCGCCGGACGCAACATCTGAGTTTCAGAGCGCCACGGAAGAGACTATCCTCTCGGGAAACGAGATTGAAAACCAAGAGGGTGAACAGGAACAAGCGGACGAGAAAACGAAATTGGACAGCCTGGGCAAGCACGCAAGAAATGCCGACGCTACCGTCTCGACAATGGATGGCTCGGTCGAAGTTATTGAAGACGCGGACGAAGCTGCCAGTGAGTGGCAGTGCTCTCGGTGTACATTAGTCAATGAAGCGACATGTCAGCAATGCGAAGCATGCGGTTACGAACCAGCCTCTGTCCCTGCCAAGAAGCGCCTTCGCAAAAAGATGCATTTCCAAAGCAAAATAGCGTTGTCATAGTTTCCAGGCTGGTCTCTTGTGGCTGCATTATCCAGACATTTAGAGGGCACGATACAATAAAAACTCATAGCACCAGAGGGTGTTAGATGGAAAAATACCCCCGCCTGCAACGCATCAAACTTTCCATCTCAGTCTATACCAGCTCATTCTACAATCGATCGCGATCGATCAGATTGTTTTGGTCGTTATACCAACCAGCTACAATGGTACATCGGGTCACCGGGTAATGTAGCAAAGGCGCCACAATTCGTTCTCGCGCTAACACGAACACAAAGGTGTAAAATCCCACAATACAATGTGATGTAACAAGTACTTGGAACCAGAGACGGTTATGAGCAATGCCGTACCAGGCTGTGTGAACAAGCTGCTATCCTTCTCAACCCTGTCGATGCTTACCATCACCATCGCTTGCGGTTAATTACTGCCTTGCGGCTGTCGCCACGCTTCCTCAGATATTGATCAGCAGCACTTCGCGCACATACAACGTCTACCAAGTCAAAGCACAAGACATAATCCCGTGAGACCTACGGATACGAAACACTACAAGGTCGACAACAACCACAACTTTGACAAAAAATCAATGGACGTACCCAAACGTGTTCGCGCTTCTCTTGCGTGGGAAGTAGACGTACCAGCTGAGGCACGAGCTCCTTGAGCAGTGAATGTGAGCAAATTGATAGCAAGTAGCTGAAGTATGCAGCAAGCGACATTGTGTCCTGCCCGAAGAGTCGGCAATTATCCTTGAACAGCTGCAGGTCTGCGTACGGGCACTTGGTCTGCACGAAATTAATGACCTCCGCATACACCTGCTTCATCTCAGCGCCCTTTGCAGGCGGTGGAAGGGGTGGCACAGGCTGCTGCGGCGCCTTGGGAACGGATGGCTTCACGAACGAATTATACATGGCTTCTGCCTGTGGAGGTGCTGTATAGGTCGTATTGGGCGCCGGGGCCGGGTACGACTTATACTTCAGTGACGGATCGGTCGGATGTGAATGTGTCGACTCAGTCGGCACGGAAGCAGGGATTCCACGCCTCTGCTGCTCAAACTGCGCGTACAGTTCCCGTTCTGTTTTGTACGTGCTGTATCGTTTCAGCCGCGGGTCGTTCGGGTCCGGTTGCACGGCGCTTGCTACTGGGAGGGGCCTCGACGTCGACGACGCTGCCATCTGCGACTCACGATTTGAGCTCAAACGCGGAGACGGGCCACTCGCTTCGTACGATGCACGTGCAGCAGCAGCGTGATCGGCAGCACCTGGCGTCTCATTGTGAGCATGGTAGCTGTTACTACCGCTAGTATAGCTCGAGCCTCGAAAACTGGAAGAACTGCCCGCCGTCAATGATGCACGGGCTGCAGCAGCATGATCAGCAGCATCTGGCATCCCATTGCTGCCACGGTAGCTGTTTGCGTACCCAGCATCGTTCGAGCCAAGAAACGTGGAAGGACGACGTCCACCCAGTCCTTGCTGCTGGCTCGCCCTTCGAATGGCATCGTAGAGGACGTCACAGGATCCCGGCGGAGGCGCCGCTTGGCCACTTAGAATCTCATTAGGTGTGACCTTGCGGCCATAGAACTGACTGTTCATCTCTCCCCGGACCATAAACGTCGAGCCGTGCAGTCCCACGCCAGCAAACGCGCCTTTGGCGTGACTGTACGTGTAGTTGCCACTGACCCCGCCTCCTCCAGCATTGACACTAGCTCCAGCAGTTCGTCCAACAGGTCCAATGGCCAGATCCAGTCCCGCACCCACCGAGACTTGCGTGCCTCGTTTAAACGTCTTGACTGCTCGAGGCGAGCCCAATATAATGAGAAAGTCAATGATCTCTCCGCCAATCTCAGCGCCAAAGCCCATGCCAGCTGTGCCAATGCCAGAAGGCGGCGACCACGACCCGTCTTCCAGCCGAGCGATGACCAGCCCTGTACCCATTTTGCCTGTCCAGATCATTCCGGCTTTCACGACCGTGAGGAAGGCGAGACCTGCTGCGGTCTGGATGAGCTCGGCAGGGATGGCCGCGTCGGCGCTGACGGTCGAGCGGAAGCACGAGTCCAGGATGCTCGCGGCTTTCGTGATCTCCTTGTCCATCGTGGAGTGGTACGGCATGTGGAGCGGCATCTTGAGCGAGCGGCAGCAGCAGGTGGAACTTGTCGGACGGACGGGAATCGAGTGAAGTAGTAGTAGGAGGAGGAAAACGTTGAAGTAGTAGTAGTGGTAGTACTGTGGTAGAGACGACGGGGACACCGTGGCGCAAAAGTAGTTCTGGTGGGTACAAAAGAGAGCCGATGCACGGGTTCTCGACTCTGGGTATTGTCAGCACTGGGACGGTTTTGCGCGAGCGATTTGTTTTGTATTGAGCTTTGTATGGCCTCGATGTTCTCTCATGACGACGTGTGCTTATAGTGGCATCGTGTGCTTTTATTGCACGTGCCTTCTACCTATCCATCCGATAGAGTGACAGGTACTAGGAATGGATGGTACTGATTCTAGGGATCCTACCCAAGAGCTAAGATTCATGTAAGTGAACTGAGCGAGCGTGACCGCGTTAAAGAGCATATCTACCATCGTAAAGGTCTTCAACTTCGACCTCCTTCCTCGACAGGAAAAGAGGACAATGGCATTTTTGCTATTACGTGTTGGGCAACAACAATGCCGCGGGCGAATCCAAATAGCACATCAATCAATCAACCAATTGATCGATCCAGTGAGCTAACTTGACTGCGGCAGCGGCTACACTCGGGAATGCTAGTGACGGACTACACGACTGCTGCTTACAGCACATTGACGCAGTTCAGATCGCGGAACGCCTGCTGCAGACGAGCAATCATTTCCTCCTCCGACTTGCGCACCCACACCCGCGGGTCATAGTACTTCTTATTGGGCACGTCCGGGCCGTCGGGGTTGCCAATCTGGCACTGCAAGTAGTCCTTCTTGCCCTCGTAGAACTTGCGCAATCCGTCCCAGTACGCCCACTGCGTGTCCGTGTCAATGTTCATCTTCACCACGCCATTGCCCACTGCCGTCTCAATCTCCTGCGGCGTCGAGCCCGAGCCGCCGTGGAACACAAAGAACACGGGCTTGTCCGTCGACAGTGCCTTCTCCTTAGCCACAAACTTCTGGAAATCACCCAAAATCTCCGGGTGCAGCTTCACATTGCCAGGCTTGTACACGCCGTGGACATTGCCAAATGCCGCCGCAATGGTAAAATACGGCGACACGGCCCCCAGTTCATTGTACGCCAGCAAAATGTCTTCTGGCTGCGAGTACAGCGACGCATTGTCCACTTCACTATTGTCCACGCCGTCCTCTTCCCCGCCCGTGATGCCGAGCTCCACTTCCAGAATCAGCCCCATCTTGGCCATCCGTTCAAAGTACTGCTTGCTCACAGCCACATTCTCCTCCATGGGCTCCTCCGACAAGTCCAGCATGTGCGAGCTCCAGAGCGGCACGCCGTGCTTGGCAAAGTGCTCTTCATCGGCTTCCAGCATGCCGTCAAACCACGGCAAGAGCTTCTTGGCACAATGATCCGAGTGCAGAATCACGGGAATCCCATAGTGTTTGGCCATCGCGCGCACGTGGTACGCCGCTGCAATGGCCCCAAGCACGGACGCCTTCTGGTTCGCATTGTCAATGCCCTTGCCAGCGTAAAACGCCGCGCCGCCATTGGACGTCTGGATGATAATGGGCGACTTGATGTCGCGCGCAGCTTGCAGCGCAGCGTTGGCCGTCGACGACGACGTCACGTTCACGGCCGGGATGGCAAACTTGTGCTCGTGGGCGTACTTGTACACCTTCATCACGTCTTCGCCCGTGAGGACGCCCGGCTGGACAATGTCAAGAAGTCCCATGGTCAGCTCAGAAACAGAAACTTGGTGGGGCTTGCGTGGATCCAAGCAAAAGTCGAAATGACCGCTCTCTCTCCAGGGCGCAAGCCGTCCGTGGGATGATTTGTAAAGTACGAGGAAAAGCTCGACCCGGGTGGGATGTTCAACCATGGGGCTGCGACCCGCCACGTCATCGAAACCCGTCCCCGTCCAGCTGGAATAAATTACTTGCTGCTGATTGTCTCGAAAAGATCGCACCAAATCATGTGCTCGCAAACGCCCAGTCAGTCGTGTGGACCGCACCCTCCAATTCAGAGAGAGAGAGAACTGGGTCCAATGGGGCGAGGCGCCTATTTGCTGACGCTTGTGCAGCTATTGATAGCGGTACGAAACGTGACGGCAGATGACGTACCAAGGTCAAAAGCCGAGGTCCTGCGCTCACATATGTCGACCAAGACGTTGTACACCCCGCACTTGTGGACTGAACCACCGAGTCCGGAAGATCCCAGATGTCGCCCAGTCCAGCTGAATTTCGTCCTTCGTCATGGGACGCGAACCCCTACCACAAAGGACATGACCCGGATTCAGCGGATACACTCGAAGTTACTAGCGGGTGGAATCGGGGAGTCTCTCTCGTGGGTGGGACGCTGGGTGAACCCGTACTCGAGCGCAACTGCAGCGTGGCTCGCAGATCGAGGAGTCGATGAACTGATTGGAATCGGGACGCGACTTCGCGCTCGATTGTCGCGACTGCCAGTGCATTACAACTCGAGCAAGTTCTTCTTTGAGCATACGTGGAAAATTCGCACGCGACAGAGTGCAGAAGCCTTTGCGTTTGGCTTCTTTGACGGCCTTCAGCCAGTGTACTACCATAGCTTTCCAACAGGAGACGATGAAGTGCTGCGGTTCTATGACAATTGCCCGACGTTTGAGCTGCAGATTGAGAAGAACAAGAGTGCACTTGCTGAACATGCAAAGTACCGGCATGGTGCACAGATGCACGAGAATCTGGAAAAGTTTCGACAGCTCGCGGGCGGTTCAAGTGCGACCCAGGAGGATATGGAAGCAGCGTACGCTGGTTGTGCCTTTGATGTGGCAGTGCTTGATGTGTATGACAATTGGTGCTCGTTCTTTGATGAGAAGATGCTGCTGTCGATGGACTACTTTCAAGATCTTAAGCACTTCTACCGGAAAAGTCACGGCCATGCGCTGTCTTACGCGATTGCGGCGCCACTGTTGCAGGACATTTTTCGTACCATGAAGCAACGTGTGGATGATGAGAGCGACGTCGAAGGGTATTTTCGCTTTGCGCATGCTGAGACTATTCTACCGCTGGTATCACTCTTGAACGTCAGCTACTTTGACTTGCATCTGAGTGATCGTGAAGGTCACTTCCGCGCAGATACCCCGTTGGATTTAGCTCTGCAGCGGAAGTTCAAAAGCTCTGAGTTGGCGCCGTTTTCCGCCAACATTGGCTTTGTTCTCTACGAGTGTGCTGCTGAAAATGGTCAAGATCACGCAAAATCGACATTCAAGGTGAAGACATTGCTCAATGAGCAGGAGGTGATATTCAACGAGTGCAACGGCCAAGCGCTCTGTTCATTCGACGAATTGGAGAGTATTTTTCGCAGATGGATCTATGAGTTTGATTTCCACGAACAGTGTGCGCTTGCATAACCCCACACAAGTGACGAACGGGACGCGGTGATGAGCTGCCTACAACGAGAAACGCGCATTGATAAGTTCAATGAGTCGACTGCAAGACTGCAGTTACAACTTGGCATTATGTGTAGCTAGAGACATGAGCAGTGTAATGCATACAATATGCCGGCGTCTGTATGGGATGATGGCGATGGAGGGGACAATGGCTCAGCTTTTCTAGACTTCATCTTTGATGGACGACGCGGTGTTGCTACTTCGGCTTATCATAGGCATTGTCACAGAACGAGGGCCAAAAGTAGACAGAGCTGATTGTGCTACGGAGCCGTCAGAGCTGATACCGGCTTTTGCTGCACGAACTGGAGCTGCATCGTGCTCTGATAGGGACAGGGCAAACGACGGAGTGAACGAATGTCATGACCGAAAGACCCAACAAGACAGCTTATGACTATCTACACAATGCAAAACTTCTGTCTTTCTCCACACATATCTTGCATTCTGCTTACTCTTGTTGAGCTTAATGCCCTTATGCACTTGTTGCAATAACTAGCTACTTGGAACAAAGCTCGATTGAACGGCTTACTCTTCTTTTCCACGCAGTTTGCATTGGACACAGCCAAAGATTCGCTTCCCAGAGAATAGGTCCGTCTCCTCACATCCTCTTTTCAATCCCCGTTCGAACGAACATCACTCGTTTGCTTCCCCTTTTCCTCCTCATGCCAATGACGTCGGCCTTAAATCATCCACGTTCCCCCAACGTACACGTATAATGAGCGCGATCGAACACGCTTCAGTCGTGCCCACTTCTTGCTGCCCAGCCTTGCGAACTAACGTAAGAAGCACTTGGAAAGACGTCTGATGCAAGAGCGTTAACTTGCTAACGAAAAGGTAGGAAGTAGACGGACATGCAAAGTGCCGATGTACATTCGACACCGTTGACAACTAGGGAAGTTGCACTAGAATTGATCGTAGAATGAATTCTACACCAACTACAGCAAGACTGGATGTTGTTTCCAGCATGAACTATATAAATGACCTCACTCATGTCTCCAAAGCCACCGCCTCCTTCATTACAACGGTGTCCATTTTCGAACACTCATCCGTTTCTCGGACATTAAGTATATCGGTAGTTGTTCATGCGTGTCTTACAGAAGTTTTATTATCTCTGTAGTGTCGTAACATATCTGATGCGAACGTTTTGCAGCCCTCGTATCCGACGTTGGAGGAAGCAAAATGGCGTGACGATGTTGGGCACACGAATCGTGCATTCTACTTGAAACGAGAGGTTGGCTACGTCATGATGATAACAAATTACCCCTACAAGCGTGTAGAATGAGTTTCGGGTGCATCTGCAAATGCGGTGCCCATCATCTTCCACACGCCTGGATGCTAGCTTTAACAGAGCGCTCGAGAACGCACCGTCGACTGCGACGTTGGAAGACGTGTACGAAGACTCCTTGAGGTTGGCCGCTTGCGCATACGTCAGAACGAGGCTATTCTAGCCGACAACAAAGTAGTGCTGACACTCATTCTCTTGTATGCATGATGTACGACCAGTGAAGCTGTGTGTGCCAATAGTTCCGAGTTGAATTTATTACGCGATGAGTGAATTGTGCGTGTGCGACCTATGCTAATGAGGGTAGTGAAATGGTAGAGGTGTGCTGCAAATGACGGTACATCACAAATCAAGTGTATAGTAAACCAACAGCCTGGATGATTCAAGCACATAAATCAATAGCACCGTTTGTGTTGCTTTTTTACTTAGCAATCGGAACGTGGCAGTGGGTGCCAGCTTGATGAAGCATAGTAAGATACCCGCATGCTGCACCGCGCTTGTATCCTGAATTCCATCGTGACATTCTTGCCTCCTGGTGTTGTTAAGCTGTTTCTTCATTTCTTCGCCTGCGTAATCGAGCACTGCAGGATTCACTTCACTGAGTGTAAAATCGTGGGCGCCATTCTCCCTATGCAGCTAGCATTGGTGCTCGCCCACCATACGCAGTAATTATCGCGTAATACCCATCCCGTGAAGGGACAACATATTCTAAGGACGCGTGTATGCATTCTTGATACCGTGAGTTAAATCATATTGACGGCTGGACGGAGCAGAGTGGCCAAGCAACAGATCTGGCGCGTTGTATTCTACACGGTCGACGTCATAGTGCTGAGCGACCACTAGGAATTTGATCTCACAGGAGGACGTACAGATTCACGGTAAGACAGTGCGCACGTACGGTCAAACAACTAGATTGAGCAAAATTAACAAAACGGTCTAACGAGTCTCATCATGCTGGACGCGATAGCACATTGTTGACCAAGTGGGGGTATGGCCAGATGCTACAGCTGTTCGATAATATATCGAGGATTGCGTGAGCAAACAGCACTGTTTACCCATAGTGTAAATAGTCTACCGCAAGCTGTACTTCTACTTAAACCATTGCACGTCAGCCACTGGCACAAAGAAAACCGAAGGGTCGCCTTAATCTGCATAACTCATACAAGACCAAGACATGTTTATTGTAAAGAGGACGCCTGTTACATGAACTTCATCGTGGTATCGGCTGAGATTTTAACCTGATGTATTGGGTTCATAACAACATTACTCCATTCGAATAAATTTGTCGGCTAATGAGTTGACATCGGTGTGATATCAATGTACCACTAATCAAGAATAGAAACGTAATGAGTGTGAAAGATAAATGATAAACATTCTTGCCCCCGATCGACTGCTTCCCTTGATCATATCACTCCGAAACATCATGCGCACTGCATGCAGTGCGGAAGCGTTTAAAGCAACGAAACAAGTTGGTTTGAGATAGAATCGGGAGATGTATAGCATCATTACCAAGAATGTGTATAATAATTCAGTACCTTCCTTTGGTGTGGCGATGGTCATAATATGTGACGAATTCGATTGGGGCAAATGGTCAAGTCGAAGGTGATTCTTGTAATAATCAATGCCGAGTCAAGTATTCAGACTTTGTCGTAAATGTCGGAACGGTCATATCTCTGCTAATCATCAAGTCACACATCCGAATAATAATTTAGGATTGAGGTGGTTAGAAGAACGTCGATCCGCGATTTGCGGTTAAACACGTGTATTCAGATAGAATTCATTGACAGACATTGCTAGGCACATTGTACGTCCTAGCAGATGAAAACATGTAGTAACAGGCTTCCCGCTTTCGTTTAATTTTCACAGCGTTCGATGTTACTTCCGAGATACACATAATTTTATTCGCGAAAGACCTTCCGTTATCCGACAAATCAAAACTTCGACCGCGTGCTTCCCAAGAGTCTGTCCCTGGATTTCCGGGCGCGAAAGCTCATTGAAACACATCCCCAGCTGCAATCGGACGCAAAAATAATGCTAGGCCAGCCCCTGGTAAATCCAGGTGGTCAAAGATTCATGGCGGGCAAAAATAGAGGCGGACCTGAGGCTATCTCAATACAGATCACATCGACTCGAGTTAGATTATTCTGATAAGGTGAAGCATCCCCACGCGTTCTCTCCAAGCTCTACATAATCAGGATGCAAATCATTTTTAATGTCAAATAAGAGTGCAAGCCGTACTAGCGACACGTGCGAAATTAAATGAGCACGATAGTTTATGGAATTAGCTTACCTCATCTTTTCTAAAGGTCTTATGGGTGCTGTGGTGATCTAAGTTCACTTAAAAGAAAATGTGTTCGCCAATTCCCTCCGATTACCTGAGTGACCAGGGTATCTGCACAATTTGGCTCACATCGTGCACCCGCTGACAGGGCGAATCGCACTATTTGGGCAGGCGTGAGCCGATGGTAAGTTAAGGGGCCTCTTTTGTTCCATTAGTGTACAGTGATTGCAGATACTACATATGAGAAGAGTTCTTAGGTTCACTCCCTTTTGATGGATCGAATGAAAAACAAAACAGCCAATTTGAATTGGCCAATCGTGTGTGCAAAATTTACCCATTAGCATATGAAACGTTGATCTGCCACTCATTTTCATCATCCAGCCCCATGCGCACCAGCACTGAATTACAATCCCAAAGAGCGAATAAATTCGTGACTGTGATTAGGGTGAGGCCAAACGTTTTAAGACTTTTAGTTAACGTTTGTCCATCCGTCGGTCTGTACATTACGCAAGATGTAACTTATACGTCATGCTAAGTGCGGTGTAGCCTGTCCTATCCTCATAGGATGATATGGATTAAAATTGTCATTTTTGATTAGGTCATTAATAGCAACCGCGTAGAGAGTGTAAGTCACACACACACGCACTAACACTGGTACAGGATCGGATTGAACGTGATCAAAGGCAAATACAAATTGCTGAACGCTTCGGCAGCAGGGGTCTCGCACCTCGAGCAAATTGTAAATGTGTGGTGTTTTTCATCAGTCGAACTCAACAAATTGAAATCGATATCATTACGGTCATCCTTCTCTCTGTGGCAGAAGAAGTCTGCATAATCTTTTTGTCTCTTATGTCAACCAATTCATGTCGTCGGCCGCACTTTGGTGATGGTGGCGTTACCGGGCAGGATCATTTACTCGTCTTCTTTATTACACAATAATCCCTTTAAAATTCCAACATCATCAACGAGTAGCTTAAACACCCACAATCCATCATCACATTAATTAACTGCAAAACGAACATCAAGACTCATCCCTAGCCAGCAACCATCCCATCTGAAATGGGTCCGTGCCCACAGTGAAATTACAGAACTTGATTCATCTTTTTGTAAAAAACTATGCACATGAAGGTCCAGCTCCAGAAGTAGCTCCCGTATCTAATAATATCATACATATTAGGAGCGGCTAATCAGCTAATTAGCCTTCGTTCCGTACATTATACAAGCGATCGCCTTTGAAGGTCTCCAAAATGGTGATATAATTTTCTTTTTTTTGTGCTGGACGACCTCTTCTTGCCTAAAGCGCTGTTACAGACCCATCTTCTTGAACCGCCTGTTGTATACAGCTTTGAGATGCTGTAGAGAGACCATTCGAACAAAATTTATTGTTTGGTCGATGGCATCTTAACTGTGGTGTCAGCATGGAAGTAAATGTAACCATCAGGTTGTCAACGTTTACTACATCTTTATCAACAGTTCGATTATTCAAGCAGTATTGACAGCAACAAGAACATGACCGAATGGAGTGATTTTATCGATACATTGCACTGCTGGATGTGATCAGATGCGGATTTATTTGTGCTACTTGAAGGTAGGTCCTTAAGCTGTGCCTTGTTGTCCACATTGTCGTCGTCGCGTAGGATTCAAACCAATTTCTATATATTAAAGTGATCTATATTGTCGCCGATAAAGCCTACTGGAAGCCCGCGCATCCTTACTATCACAGATGGTAGCATCCAGAGAAGTGATACATGATCGTTTAGGATCCTTTTCTAATATCCGTCAGCATTAGGATCCCTCCCACGAAGATGTTTAGCACAACATCGATTTGATAGCATTCTATCTGCCAGACTCGGGGTCAGCCCTTTGTGGTTTAGTTCAGCCCATCCACCAACGCTGGTCAAAATGTTGTAACTGTTAACAGCCATCGTAATCGACTAAATGCATGACGACAAGGGTTGCCCAGGAGAGATTCAAATTCGATCACTTCTTTAATGTACAGGGTGAAGGCTCACTGGAGAAAAGTGAAGGCTTATTAACCACCTTCTATTAATTTTGGCAATCGTGAATACTTCTAAGAGGCACATCTGATTACATTAATCAAACACAAAGATTCAAAGTTCATGGGACCGACAAAGCGGAGTTTCCGCTTGTCTTCGATGCCATCCCAATACGTCATAACCAAAAACCGGTCTACAGCCCCGGTTCCAGATTCTGCTGTTTCTGGATTACTCATGATTTTACTATTCATTTCGGTGTGATTGATTTAGCTTTTTTGCAAGGAATTGCTTCGATATTTCTGTCATTCTGGAGCTCACGCTTTCATTTTAACTAGAATTTTACAATAGTAGTTAGGTTTCCACAGCTTACGCAAAAACGTATTTGTTGATTGAGAACAGGTTTGAAATCCTGTTCTAACTCAGATAAATTATAAAAAGACACATTTTTGTTAAATAGCTCAAGTATTTAATATGAGTCTTAAGAACTGATTTCCAACATACTGTGTCATAACAGGAAATGTGAATTTGATTTCAATGCAAAATAAAGCTTTTTTCATAATTGGAGGATGGGGCTTAGTTTGAACTCTTACATAATCTTCTACAATCAGATAATCAGTGTTGAAATTCTCCTTGTATAGTAGGCCTTTAGTTTGGGCGAGGCTATTCCGTACTTTAAATTTTGCTATTCTGTACTGCAAACGCCGTCGAGCGTTTTTAAGAACAGCCAATTGGCTAAATTGTTACATTTTATCTGTGTTGTACTAGATATCGAAGGTCAGAGGTGCGGAGATTAAAGAGCTTCCATTGACTGGAATCAGTTCCCAGTATGTCACCATTTGCACTAGCTTCAAATGACTCGTATAGTGTAGCTCGCCAGTACCCGGCAGACCTCGAGGAATAAGAAGACGTAGCAAAAGTCAGCCCACTTGTCGCTGTGTTCGATGTTGAAGGTGTCGACCAGGTAGTGCTTGACCGTCTTTGTATCCTACTGACGGCGGTGCATTCCGTAGGGGTTAATACGCGAGTATCGACCGCACGTAGGTGCACCCATCCGTAACCTCTCTGTTCACCGGATCTTCAAAACAGTTGCTATACACGAGCTGGACGAGGATCGAAAGAAACTTTCGCTGTGGAGTGACGTCATAGAGCCATCGGTAACGGTCCGGGATGGCAGAAGCAGGCGGGTTGAAGCCAGCAAAGAGCAGGAACATGACGTTAATGAGGACGCCCACAACGGCAACGGCTTCTCCAATGAAATTAGACGAGAAGGTGGCCCAGGAGCGTCTGCATGAGCATGTAAAGGGAGACTTTGAGCCAGTAGAGCACAGCTGTGCTGAAGGACCAGATGCCGAGGAGAGACAAGAAGACAATGGTGAAGAGGAGACTGCTGCCGAAGCCGTGGGCGATCTCGACGAACGTTATGCCGAGGAATTTCTAGAGAGTGTTGTACGTCTGCGCGTCGCGCTCGCGGTAGTAGACGGCTCATTGCCGCAGAGTGAAGGGCAGGCAAGCAACTTACGTCACGTATCTTAGATAGTGTGTCATAAAATGACACCCAATGTAACGGGGCACCTTTTGTTTGGGGTGCCGCGAAACTTCACGTACACTAGTACGTGCAGAGGAAGCTAAACTACTTGAACGACTCGGTCAAGTAATGGGTAAAAAGAGAGCTGCATTTAATATAGCTAAGCTATTAACATAACTTTAATCTTTGTCAAACTATATCAAAATTAGGCCGTCGTATGACGACAACCTGCTCACCACTCATTGCGCGCGTCTAGCTGCGATTGGTGGCAATCTATGATTGACATGTATTATATCAACCAATCTTGGAGCAGCGAATGAATACTATCCAAAAGGGGATAATATTCCTTCAATATTATCCATCTTGGATAATATTGGTAGAATGTTGTCACGCTAGACAATATTCCTATTGACAACGTTTGGTGTCAATTTCAAGTAACGGGCTAACCCCGTTACATTACCCCCCACCCTTAATCATTAATCACCCGTTGATTGAATCAGAATTGATTGGGACAGGGTGACCACAGTTGGATCACTCTGGTAAAGGAACACTTTTTACTTAAATCCTATTCATTTGCTAATCCAACGCATGGTTTCCAAAACCACGCGAGCCGCTACTGTAGCAGCAAGTAGGGCGGCTGCACGCATGCGTGCGGTCGCGGAAAGTGCCTCTCACGCCTCAGCAATAGGCGATTCGTCGCCTGTTGTCGTGAATCCTCGACGTGGTGAGTCACCACGTGTGACAGGTACATCCGTTGCATCTGCAGCGGGTACCTCGAATCGTAATCCAGACGAGTCTGATTTAGAGCTCATCTATTCCGGCGAGTCGGAAGAATCATCCGACTCGAAGGCGACTCATCACGCCTCGGGATAACCCGGGGCGGACGCTGCAAGATCCAGGTTGACTGGTTCTGGTCAAAGCGGCGGTAACGTGACCGAGATATTCGGATCGAGTGATTATTCCGATGATTCTCCGCCTCAAGCAAGTCCATATAACGATAGGACGCGTAGAGATGGTGGTGATTCTACTATACATCACCACGAGTGAAGTAACTCAAGGGATCGGGGTAACACTGGCGCCAGTGCTCATGCTGGCACCAATTAAGAGGCCAGGGACCGAAATGTCCTGCACCACGCTTCTCAAGTGGAGTCTCCATGGATGCCACCATCCAGAGAGTTGGACCGGTAGGCCGGCATGACTACCGAACGGGATCGAATCCCGTTGTTCGATTGCAGGAAGATTTGCCCACCTGATTCCAGCACGGAAACTATCCGTGCTGAGGAAGAGTTCTTCACCGATGCGTTCTTCAAACATCGGTGGTACAATGGTAGCCGTGTATGAGACGGCAAGGCCTTGGAGAAGGGATGGAATGCCCTCTTTCACAACATCGAGTGTATTGGCCGTGAGGCTTGGCTCGCCAAACTTGATGCAGCTCGCATCAGGTTTGAGAAACGCAACTTAGTCGGGGCGCGATACAAGTTGCATTGACTGTCAAGAGAGGTAGAATTACGCTGTCTCGCGTAGGACGACCCATATCCAGGTTGCCTGGACAACTCGAACCGTGCCCCTAAAGAGGCCTCCCTCCCTTATGATCCCTACTGGAGGGAGCGCATCTCTTCCGAAATGGCCGAAGGGATTGACACCTTGCAATCCCTGTACTCGCGTTCGGGGGGGGGTTATTTTCCGACGGCCTTTCTTCGAACGCAGCGGGTGGGTCTCGTCGTACTGCTCGACGAGACCAAGGACATCAACAATCAGCTGAACACGAGGCTCCCATCTGCCCTACGTCGGTAGATAGCCACGCCAGCGGACGAGGTAACTCGTCCGGACGCCATTGACATCGAGGTGGTTCAAAATACGCTCCACTAGGAGCGTTGACCACCGCTTGAGTCCTCCAAAGGATGTGGTGGCGGCGGGAACATCTGATCCGTCTCGAGGGTCGAATCAAGTTGATATTCAAGAGCTGAACCGTCTACCGGAACGGTTGCAAAATGTCCTGGCTCACAAGCAGACTCGGCGTAATGAGATTTAGGATCTTGTAAGATAATTACAATTCTCTAACGCACGATCGTTTGAGCGATCGTGCCGCATTTGCATTTGCGCAAGTTGAGAGCGAATGTTTGGTTCGTTCTCTTCGTGACGAGCTGTCTGTAGCTCGTCGAGACATCGCTGGACTGCGTGAACAGGTCGCTTCGCTAGTCGACCAGACTGGTTTGTTGAAATGGGACCACTCGAAGGTGGTCTCGGCTTTCGACCGCGGAGGTATTCTTCGCATCTCGAAACGGACTCGTACTGATAAAAGGGCGGAGAAGACCAACGTAAAACGTAGGATGCGTACGCATCTTACCGGGAAGTTCAATCGTGTATGCGTTGCCCATTCGGCGAAACACACGAAACGGACCAATGTACCTGGGCAGTAATTTACTGCTGCCCACGTTTGTCACTGCGTGCTTCAGTAAGTTTACTGTAAACAGTAAAACTAGGTCTCCTATATCAAATGAAAGAACACTTGCTCTCTCATGTTTGTCTGCTTTTCTTTTCTGTCTGTCTATTGCATCTGCAATAGAGTCTTGAATGAAGCGGACAACCGCTTCGCGAGACAGCAGAAATTCCTCTGCTAATTCATCCTTGTCAACAGCAGTGCGCTTCGTGTGCACTGCTGAAATAACGTTGTCATCACCAGTGAGGGTGTCATCGTCCTCACTTTGGCAGTCATTGGCGATGCTGAATATGCCAGCGTCGTCATCGTCATCATCGATATAGATCCCATCGACATCGGCATCCATCACGTCGACACCATTGTCGACGGGTGATGAGCAAGAACCAGATCGGTTTTCGTTCCAGCGAGTCCACCCCCCTTTAAACTAGAGTCACACTCTAAGTAGGCGGTATATGTGGATGGCGCACGCCATTCACGAAGAAAGGTGTATGTGTTGTCGACGCATGCACCGAGTTGTTAATGGCGAATTCCGCCATCGGCAAGAACTCACTCCAGCTCGTAAACGAGTGGACATACCCTCGAAGTATCTCTTCGAGAACGCGGTTGACGCGTGATGTTTGACCATCTGTTTCTGGATGGTCGAAATTTGACATCGTCAAACGTGTCCAAGTGAACGGATCACAGATTGCCAGAACTCAACTGTGAAGCGGGGGTCCCTATCTGACGCGAGTTCACGGGATAACCCGTGAAATCGGAAGACAGTATCGATGAAGACACGCGCACAGCCCTGGGCTGAGATTGACTCCGGTACAGCAACAAGATGTACCATCTTGCTGAACCTATTAACAAACACAAGAATACCAGAATTCTGGTGAACGTCTTTGGGAAACCCGAAGACGAAGTCCATCGATACGGACTGCCAAAACTCTGCCGAAATCGGAAGAGGCTGTAAGGGTACACGGGATGAATGACTAGGCTACACCCGCTGGCAAACTTCGCAAGCGCGAAAATATTTGCGCACAAACTCACACTAGCGGAACCAGTAGAAGTCACGACTCACCGTGAGGTAAGTCTTTTCATTACCGCGATGCCCACTTGGTGGGGCATCGTGACACTCATACATGATGCGCAATCGAAAATCATAATGATCCGGAACGACGGCACGAGGTGTGTCTCCGTTGACTGCTTCATAGTACAGCAGTCCATCACGAACAGAATATCGTCCGGTTGAAAAGCTGTACTGAGACGACAAGCTGTTCGAAGCTTGATTACACGGATTGGATACGTAATTCATCAACTGCAGAAGAGACTCATCTTCTGCGAATGCTTTTCGCACGTCGTCGAGCAGATTCGACGACGGAGTCGCGATAGTAGGATCACCTCTACTGTTGGGATGAGCAGTTGGCATGAAATTGGGCCGGCGCGAAAGAGCAACAGCGACGACATGAAGTCGCCCTGGTTTGTACTCGACGGAGAAGTTGTACTCCGCGAAGAAAGACAGCCACCTCGCCATTCGTTGCGAGAGGTGTGGACTGTTTGCGGCCGTGCGTAATGACACATGGTCGGCATAACGATGAAGGGCCTATCTCCTAAGAGATATACCCGAAACTTAGCCAGTTCACATTTCATGGCAAGGACTTCCTTGTCACGCACCAGGTGATTTCGCTCAGCTGGTTGTAGCTGACGCGATTGACAACAGACGAAGCGCTCAACTCCGTCTGAGTCGTACTACATTAAAGCGTAGCCGATTGCAAAATTGCTGGCGTCTCAGACCACATGGAATGGTCTGTCATGGTCTGCAATCGCCAACACAGGCGATTGTATCAAGCTTTTTCTTGATGCCTTAAACAGAGTGCTGACACTCAGCACTCCATGACCACCTCTCGTTTTTCTTTAGCCTACGAGAAAGATGTACGGTCATCTCGGCATAGTTGCGCGATTATTTGCGAAAGTGCGCCACCAAGCCAAGGAACTTTCGAAGTCCCTTGACGTCGAGTGGCACAGGCCAGTCGCTAATCGCCTTGATCTTTTCCGGATCAGGGCGTACACCGTTTTTACCCACGATGCAGCCAAGAATTGGTATTTCGTTTGCTGCGAATATACACTTCTTGAGGTTCGCAAACAACTTATGCTCTCGCATTAGTGTAAGAACCTTCCGGACGTGGATTTCTATGAACCTCCACATCCGTCTTTCCATCCATAGCCCGGCTATGGACGAAGACTTTGTCGAAGTGACTCGGTGCAAAGTCGCGCACCGATCGCAATAGATTTGTAACACACCTGTTTAATATCGCGGGGGCGTTACTCAGCCCCTGTGGCATTACTAGCCACTCCCAGAGTGTTCCGCTGGGGGTGCTCACTGCTGTGTAAGGGATACCCCGTTCACGCATGAGGATCTGATAATATCCATCCATCAGATCCATGAATGAAAAGATGGTACTTTTTGCCATGCCATCAATGATGACGTCCTTCCTTGGTATCGGCGCTTGAGCCGGTACCGTTGCAGCAATCACTTTGTTGAACGCGTGCACTGTCCGCCACATGCATGTGGTCTTTCGCACACAGAAGGTTGGAGATCTGTGTGGGGATGTTGATTCCCTTGCATGGCCAGCCGCTAATCTATTGGTAAAGAATTTGTCGATCACTGTGACCTGCTCACGAGGCAGTGGACACTGCTTCATGACACAGTATTTTTAACTGGGTTTCAGTTCAATCTCATGCAGAGTGCCTATATCCTAGGGCAGCTCGCATGGCACGGATTCCGGGAAACATCCCTGAATTTGAACAAATCCATATACAAAGGATTTGCCTTCAAAGACTCCCAAGATTGAGACGTGTATCGCTCAATAAAAGTCTTCTCATCGAGGACACTCTCTTACATCAATGAGCTACTGAGAACCCGTTCGTTCTCAGCAAACACTTGTGCCGACCGAATATCGGCGCCGTACACGTCCTCTGTGACGAAACACAGATCTGCTCGATCTTGTCACCACGCAAATCTTGCAAAATTCATTTAGATTCTTGAGTTGGCAACTTGATTACCTCCGAAGCTTACTTCGGGGGCATAACTAGAACTAGAGAATAAGCGCCTGCACTTGATCCGTCACTCACCAAGACATTCACTGTCTCGGTGATTTTCTAGGAAAACACATCCGGGGGTGGTTGAGAAAACACACTCTCAACATAACTCTCTCGGGATTTTAATTCTCAGGAACGCTGGAAATTTCTTCCAATAATTGTTCTGACTGTGGGTGTACTACCACATTCACGTCCTCTTCGATCGACTCTCTTTCAGTCGATCGGGTTTGCTTTACGATCGACTATCTGATAGTCAATCTCGCTTCAACGTGTTGTCCATCCTGAACAACACTGAACTCTCTTCTTGGATGCACCCTTCTTATTGTGCGTCCGTGTTCCAGTCCACTCGATCTCTTCGAGTGGTGAACCTTCGGCGCAGCCTGTGTCTCTACACAGGTGCCGGAAGCTGGTTCCACAGTGCAGTGGGCTTCTACACTGTGATCTTGTGCAATCGTACTAACAACCGTACCGCAATGAGGCCATCGCACTCACTCGTAGTACATCCACACGCCTGTGGACGCTCCAAGACGTCCATCAGATGGCCATTTGATGAACAAACGGAGGGCATCTTCACGGATCGATGCTGTCAGCTAAACCATGGCCGGCACTTTCTAATCCATGGTAGACCAAGGATGACATCGAATTTGTCATCCAAATCCAGTACGATGAATTCATTATCGTACTGCTTTCCTCCTAGCGTGTATTGGATTCCCACTACAATCTATTCCACTGTTACGGATGCGCCTGTTGCAAGGCACACCTACATCCTCGTTGGAGGAAAATCTCGCTCAACATAGTTGAGACTACTGTCCCTTAGCGACTGGCGTCGAATAAAACTGTTCGACGCACCACAGTCAACTAGGGCACGAAGTGACACTCCACTTGTCACTTCGATCTTCAAGGTGATGAGGGACTCCTCATCTCTAAGGGCATTAACACGCAGAGACTGCGTGTTAGGAGCAATCTTCGTCAAGTGTCCTGAAAATTCTCTTGATATTGCTGGATTAGCAGGGTGCTCCTCCCCTACTGACCCTGACCGTTTTTTGACGGTCCGACTTGCTGTCGCGGCTTGGCGACATGGTCGGACCCACGCCTCGGACCTTTCCTTTTCCAACGGCGGTCATCACGTCCTGTATTTCGACGTGTTTTAGTGCTCGGGACACTACACTCATGAGCGTAGTGTCCAATCTTCTGACAGCGGTGGCATCTTGCCGTTAAATTGTAAGATAGAGAGCGAGAGTTCTCGCTCTCGATGTAACAGAGGTTCATTGGTTCGGGACTTCCTGTTTCCTGTCGTCTCTTCGGACGATAGTTGGACGATAGTTGGACGAGTTGGCCTGAGAATTTCTCAGGCTGAAGTCTTCTTGTTCCGCATACGCTATCGCCTTTTCCAGCGTAACATGCAGGTCTTTACCGGTATGAAGGTCTTTACCGGTACATCTGCAAGACCGTAGATGAACACGTTGATGAGCGTGTGCTCATCAAAAGGTTTTCCGTAACGCTACTCGCAAAGTAGCGTAGGTGTTGTGCGTGAGCGTGCACATCAAGCTTACCTTGCTTGAGCCTCAAGAGTGCAGAGCGTGCTCTGAGGTCGGCGCTCGGCGGCTCAAACGTCTCTTTGAGTCGAGACTTCAAGATCTCTCAACTGACTTAAACACGTTTGGGTCGTGAAGCTTGAGCCCCAATGCCCATGTCCTTGCTCGTCCCGTCAAATTTGACAGGGCGAAGGTGACTTGCATCTCGTCACCCTCGATGTGACGGGACCTGATGGCATCGTCTAACTCGACGAACCATCTCAAAAAGGGAATCTTCATCGGTTTCCTTGTACCTCGAGATATCTATCTTCAAGGTTTTGGGTCGATGCACGTGCGTTGATCCGCCCATCGACTGATGAGAGCCTTGATGCTGTAGCAAGGCTATCTTCTGTCGTTCGACGGCAAGTTCGTCTTGTAGGAACTTGTTGATAGCAGCATGTTGCTCGTCTATGCTTAGAGATTCCAACATACCACTGATGGCGGGTTCGCCCATGAGCACACTCATGCGGCCGACTGCCTCCCATTCTGAGTCACTCAGATGGGAGTAGCCTTTACGTGTGACGTGAAAGCTGCCGTCTTCTACCTCCAACATGTTCATGTTGGACGGACACTAAGTAGTCGTTAGACGGACTACGAAGTGCTACCAGGTGTAACAGGGCACCTTTTGTTTGGGGTGCCGCGAAACTTCACGTACACTAGTACGTGCAGAGGAAGCTAAACTACTTGAACGACTCGGTCAAGCAATGGGTAAAAAGAGAGCTGCATTTAATATAGCTAAGCTATTAACATAACTTTAATCTTTGTCAAACTATATCAAAATTAGGCTGTCGTATGACGACAACCTGCTCACCACTCATTGCGCGCGTCTAGCTGCGATTGGTGGCAATCTATGATTGACATGTCTTATATCAACCAATCTTGGAGCAGCGAATGAATACTATCCAAAAGGGGATAATATTCCTTCAATATTATCCATCTCGGATAATATTGGTAGAAGGTTGTCACGCTAGACAATATTCCTATTGACACCGTTTGGTGTCAATTTCAAGTAACGGGCTACCTTGTTACACCCAAGGCTAATTTCAGCCCTTAGTACGTTGTGTAGTTGGCTTTGACGAGCAAGTGGCCGAAGTTGATGGCCAGGATTCGCGCGAGCCAACACCGAGTCAAGTTGTACAATGGTGTCCGCCAGTACAAAACTTGAATCGCTGCATGATCAATTAGAGTTGCATCCAGGAAGTAGCAGCTCGCTTGTGCTGGAACACTAGCTTCGGTAGATTATTGGGTACAGGTGTGGTCACTTCAGGTTCAGCTGGACTTGTCAGCAACGCTCGGTGCTTCAAAGATAGATTTGGACATTGATTATCTTCCAGTTGGAGATGTTCGACCCGTCCCTAAGACTCAGCACTAAATTTAGGCGATGGAAACATTTTAATCTCCGCACCTCTGACCTTCTATACGTATCAATATACAGATAAAATGTTACTATTTAGCTAATTAGGTGTTCGAAAAAAACGCTTGACGGCATTTGCAGTACGGAATAGCCTCGCCCCTTTAGTTCAACGTTTTTGAACGCTGGTCATAAGTCAAATGTTCTTACCAGAGACTCTTTTCTTAACAGCCCCCTTGAACGTCGCATCGTTGGAAAGCAGTGCCGCAAATTTGAGCCTATTTTCTGCCTGTCAATTTTTCATCTGTTCCGAAGCATGCCGGGACGTGACAGCCAGTGCGCGGGGCAATTGTCGTGGGGTCGCAAACCACGAGTGCCCATCGTTAACGATCCCTCTTTACCCTCGTAACAACACCCTGGCTTGATGCGACACCTCCATTTCAAATCGTCAGCAGCTCATTGGCTCTCCGCTCTCATTCTTCAAGTTCATTGTGCAATTGTCCGGCCATCCGCCATGCATCTCCGCTCCGCTCTTTTGCTGCTTGCTGCGGCCGTCGCTACAACTGAAGCCGACGCGGTCCAGTTCGACCAACTCCCTGTGTTTGGTGAAAAAGGTGCCGAGAATTCTGGTCAGAAGGACCTTAAAACAGGTGATAGCGTACGCGAAGAGAGACAATCTCAGGCTGTTAAGGCGTACAATGCTCTCAAAACGTCGGCATTTGCTAAAGATTTGGAAGCGGAATTCGTCGCGGGGGGAGTAAATGTGCCGAATTTCGTTCACGGTTGGGCCGATGTCAACCCGGCAATTAAAACGTTTTCTGACCAGGATAAGGTGCTTATTTTCGATTTCTTGAGCATATTGGCCCAAAAGGATGAAGAAGCAGTGCATCATTTCATGGAGGGATGCGATGCAATCACGATCATATCGATAGCGAAGAGATTGGACAGCGCCAACAATCTAGAGTCGCGAGACATCGCAGACATACTGCGGTTCCATTTGAAAAGATCGTGGAGAACCCAAAAACTTCCAGCTGACTACGTCTTCAACCTTCTCAAGATAGACAAAAGCATCTTGAAGGCAAAGGAAAAAACCACCATGGTCGACAAAGTTGCCTGCCTTTTCGACGACCCAGCTTTTGTAATGTGGACCGCGTATGTGCATCGCATCTACAAGCACGGTTTAATCAAAATGATGTCTCGCATACTGGTGCCTGCGCATTTTGGCATTGAAGAATGGGACAATATCCTTGCTACTGCAAAAACTATCGTGGGTCCAAGCACTAGCCGTGAAATAGGTTGGGAGATGAAAACCCTCAAGGACCTAACATCTCACCGTGAATTAGCTTGGGGTGCAAAACAACCACGAGGGGCCAAGCGCAAAAGTCAACACGAGGAACACAAGGGTGCGGCTCCCATGAAACGACTGCGTGTCAAGTTTCAAGGTCGATACGTGGAAAGCGCCGGCCCGGATGCACTGTAAACGGCCACACGCCCAACAACTCGAAGAGAGCGTTTAGGCTCGAAGTCTACAGAGGGGTTACCAGCAGAGTGTCATTTACTTTTCCCTGTTTATGTTTTGGACAGAAGCAACGGTGTCACTACACGTGCTTTTTCGCTGATTCAGGACCTGTAGCAAACTGCTGAAGTGCTGGTGCGAGCTTTCTTCTTACTATCGTTGTCGAGTATGCTGCTGATTCATTCAGTCGATCAGCATCTTGGCGGGGCACAAAGCAAATGTCTACAGAGTAGAAGTCAAGCTTTCGAGGCCGCACAAGAAACCAAGCGGTGGTTTTCGCTCGATTCACACTATTTGATCCACTTGCACACGATTCTATAACGAGTGCCCTCATATCTAGCTTGGCGACACGCAGTGTCAGTTCTTGATCGTACAGTCTGGAGCTGCAGCGGAAGACAGCTTACTCATTGATTCAAACACTATCTTCTACTTACTTTTTCCCGACGACGAGCTCTTGATGTAATCTCGCCTCAACTGTTGCGCTATTTGACTCACATGAAGCATCAGTTCAAAGATTCCGCAATTCTGTTCGCCTTTGCGATTCCTACAGCAGAAGCACAATAGATACAATGAATCACGCGCTTGTCAGCCTCATTGAAGCAAACACACCACGCAGTCCAGGACCCACTCGACACAAAAACATACGCACGTACCGCTAGTCCACACCATGTTTGCCAATGATTGAAGAGAAATGTGAGTATCTTGCAAGCACATCATGCTCCGGCACTCTGGTGAACGCCAGAGCTGTCGTCTGGACACCGAATGGCATTCGCACGAGTACATCGCCCGATGCCAATACCACGTTTTGGTAAGTGGTGACAATCCCTCAAATCGTCAATTGGCAGCTGTGTCCACGGAGCTGAATGACACCCAACACGAGCGGTCATTACAGCTCGTTTGCAGGCGAAGCTGCCTTTGCCTCTTCTGAATCAACTACGGCATTACCTGCATGAGTATGTTTCCATCATCCCACCACACTCACCGTCTTTTAGTTACTTGAACGAAGATCCAGTCTACATCACGGACACGGTGCAAGCCGAGCAATGCACACATCCTGCCGGCGTTCAACGTCTTGTGCATCTTGTAAATGAAAGTGACGCACACCCGTTACAGGTCGGGTCAACGAAAAGAACGAACACAAGCGAATTCGATTGTTGCACGGGCAGCAGGGTGAGCAGTGGCTACAACGGGCACACCTCTGAGCTTGTTAGATCACGGGCTCACTTGTTGCCGACTTCCGCTCCGTTGAGTTGTCAGAGATACTTTGCTGGCCGCGACCATCGTCGCACTAAGTACCATCCGGAACCATTTGCTTCCTCGGCCTTTATAACGAGATTGATGAGACAGTCACGCATAGGACTGCTCTGGCTGGATACGTATGGTGGCATAGTCTGATCGATTAGAGAGCTACAGCATAAACTAGAACATAACACATCGTAAGCCAACAAACAACGAAGCAATAACATAGTTCCAATAGACAATGTAGCACCTGTTGCTCGTGCAACCGTGTCGTCAGCGCACACACAATCACTTTTAACAGAGTAAAACAGAGCAACGAGAGTGCAAAGCTTGACAAAGAAGATGCATGCCACAATTTCCGCTACGCAGAACGTCTCACGCACATGATGCTTGATCCGTACTGGACCTTGTTTATCAGGAAGTGTACTGTGTACAAGACAAAGCCGATCGAAGGCGAGCGAATGGATAGAGCCTACTCGTTTACAAGGGGGTTGTTTTGCGTTGTCGTCTGCTGCAAAGTTCCACAGGAGCATATGAAGTAACTGGAATAGAATCTGGTCAGCATCGTACGACGTGCACCATCGACAAGCTAGCCTACCTTTCATGTGCTGGACAAGTTCGGATCAACAACCTCGGCCTCAATGTGAGTCCGTTTTGACTAGTTGCGCGTGCAAAGTTATCTTCATTACGGAGCACAGTATACACGCTGCTGGAAAACACCCACCTATGAGATGCAGCACACACATTTATCGTTAGTCCCTGTATGACTGTAAGCGTGCAAACGATTTGTACAACATTCGCTCGCGAGATTACAATGATGGCTGGAGAGAGGAGTATGAACTTACACTGCACCCTATTTCAGGTAAGACCCCTCCCATCAAATATACCCTGGTCACCGCGCTTCAAGAATTTTGAGAGCTACCACATAGCACCGCGATCGAATCTTCATCGGTCCTTCGGTCAACATATCGTGGCGACCGACAGCGCTGACGATGAAACCGACGGAAGGCCACACGTAGATATTGTCTCCCCTGTAGCAACTACCGTTTTCAGTCGGACCACTGAGCTCATGACGACTCCCTGGCACTCGACCAGCGACGTGTTGCACACAAAAGATCCATCAACCGCACTACGCGCCTTGACAGTCGTGTGTCGCAGCATAATCGAGTCACTGACACTGTCCTTACTACCAGCAAAACACAATAGCCATGCTGTCAAAGCAATCATGGTTTGACACCGTCGCAGTAACCAATAGCTGCAAACTCTTCGATAAAGGTCACTTGGACGCAGAAAATGCTCTGGACACGAGCGTCTAGTATCGAGATCGTAATTAGCCCTCGCATTCTTGCCACATCCACGTCCATAAACGTCTCGAACATCGTCAAGATCCTTGCAGCCACGACACGATTGGAGCAACCACCAGTTTGTGACACCCAGCTGCAGCAAGTGCAATAACGGGCCACGACAGCTCCTTCTCCTGCTGCTATGTTCACGTTCGTGACACTGCCACATTTGATGAAGCACAGCCACGCGTCCACGGGGACGTTCCTGTCCACACCGTTCAGCGCGACCTCACGTCACAACACTGGGCGTCAATGCCAGAGGAGAAAACCTTTCGGAGACGGGTAACATAAAAAGTGTTGGCGGGTTGCCGTTCCCTTGACGTGCATCAGACTTCGCGTTTGTGACCAGTCAGGAACGTTCTGCACATAAACAACCGCAAGGGGTGCCGACAGCTCGTATCTGTGTGTGTCAGGACAATCGATTGGATGCGTAATTGCGGAGTCATACCTGTGGTACGATACTGCGTTATGATTTCGAGCCCGAAGGGTGGAGCTATTGGTGACTAAGCGCAAAAATAGAATACCGAACTTTTTAATTGCACTTATCTGTCTGTGTGTAAGTCTGTCTGTGTGTCTGTAAGTAACGCGGGTAGGTGTACCTGATTTGTACTAAATGCAGTCTAGTCTGTCCCTCCTCATTCAGTGCGCACCACCTATGGCCTGTAACTTATTTTTCGGCGGCCAACTTTAAAAAAAAATTATTTTGCCGTTTCCCGCAACCCAAAACGCCTTTACAACGCTCCCATCGCACTGCACACCACAAAAACGTCTTTTGCACGTTTCCAACACCAGCTAATGTACTAAATCAGTCAACAACCACAGAAATGCCGCGCCCCAACAAACGGCGACGGCACTTGCAGCTTATGAGGTCTGTTCTGGAAGAGAAGGGGAGCTGAAACCGTCGCAGTAAAAAAGCTGCAAACTCTTGACATGACTAAAACGTTGTAGCGGAGTTACACAGCTCCTTAATTTAGAGGAAGACTTAACGCTCAACGAGCAAGTCAGCTCTTAAGAACTAAACTCAATGAGTCAACAAGCGTAACGCTTATGGTCCTTGTTCTAGGGGGCCAAACGATTTAATAAATTGACAGCTCTTCGTGCTCAAGATTCACTAGCTACCTCAGGGAGGTGTTGCGAACTCTTAGTGATCAGTGATCAACGACCAAAGACGCCTCACAAGGCACGTGTCTTTAAGATCAAAAGGAGAACTGAAATTTATTTTACATTTACACCTGTGGAATATCTTATCCTAATTTAGACATTTATGTCCTAAGTTAGTACAACCAAGAGCTCTTCTATCTAGTGGCTGACACCAGTCAGCCCCTATAAATCGATAAGATATTCTATGTCTCTTTCAGTGGGATATCATCCGTATGTCCAAGACACAGGGTACCAGGTACCCAACTACGTGTAACCCCGTCACGGACACATAGGAAACGGCGCTTAAGAGGTGAAAAGTGAGATTGAAGAGGTGAAAGATGGACATAAAGGAAATTACGATCAGGAGGCGAAAAGCGAGATTGAAGAGGAAGATGATCTCGGACTTGAATTTAAGGAGTTCACGGCGGAGTTCACGGCAGCTATCCTCAACAAAATAGTAACGGGGCCACACTAGCCATTGGCTAAATTGATTGAAGAACTTCCACATGTAATATGGGAGACAAGTGTGGCCTTAGGTTTTATACCAATAGAGAACACCGATTAGCCGGTATTCTCTAAGTTACGGTAATTACCGTGGAAGTACTTTGTACCGTCACCATTTAATGACTAAGTGATGTGCCAACAATCCACTCGTTCGAATGTAACTGAATTTGTATTATTTCTAGTTTAGTACAATATGGGGTACTCAAAGTAGGATTTTTCTTGATTTAAAATCGAAATAAAATCATTTCTCATTTTGTGCAAAAGTCTATAGACTTACACCCTTTCACACTTTGCGCTTGACAGTCCGCAGAACTGTCGTGGGTTAAAGAGTCCTTCGACTCCAGTATCCCCCTTTGCACATTGAGCGTGTAGTTCCTTAGAACTACAGTAATCTGAGCTTATAGCTCATAGAGTTCGCGCTAAGTTCAGTAGAACTAGCCGAATCTTTAACTTGATATACTAGCTCCTTAGAACTAATTGGCCGTTAATTATAAGCCTCTGTATTAACCCGTAAAGTCTTTCTCTAATTTTAAACCTGTGGTAGCTCCGCTACAAAAATTGAAGAGGTGGTTAAGGTTGCCCGCGGTAATCGATCTATGTGGTATATTGGCAAAACCCCAAAGAACTAAACGCCGTAAGCGTGCTGAACAGAGGAAGGCGGCAATTGTTTCTCAAACGCTTGAAATATACTTTTCTGTTGTACCGGCGTAGACCCCAGCACAGGCTGAGGTGCAACTTGCCAGTGGTGGCGACGAAAAAATTTGGTCATCAGACTACGAAGAGCCGCTTTACTCTACCAGCAAGCTCACTGAGGCAATCGACAGGCTTAGTAAAGGAAGATACGACAGGAAAAAGTTATGTGCGTGCGTCTTGCTTCAATTATAGGACATTTCAGACTTGTGCTTGGTTTATTTAAGGTACATTACAGCACTGTCTGCTCTGCGTTTCAATGCCTTCCCACGATTATTGTACTAATTGCGTTCATGTACCCAGAAAATTGCAGTGTCGCGGAAAAATGACACGGTAAACGGCAAAGGTCTTTGGTTTGCCGTTTCGCTTCGTGCTTGGACATGGGATTACCTCGATACCAGCAAAATGCCTCAAGCAAGCTAGGAAAAAACATTTATTCATTAGCTTATTCAGGGACAAAGATTTTAATGCTGAGGTGCAACGCTATCTTCGCATCAACAAATTTTACGCTGAACCGATCGATTTTGCCAAACGTATCAATGGAGAAATCTTTTCGAAGATTGATCCTGATACCTCCATTCATTTCAATACCGCTACTCGTTGGCTGAAAACCCTTGGCCTGCAATACTCAGAAGTGAGAAAGGACATGTACGTTGATGGGCACGAACGCGCAGACGTGGTCGCATATCGGCATAGTTTCTGCAGCGAATGGAAGAATTCGAACCCTTTATGCCTAAGTTTGAAGGGCCTGCGATAGATGTTGCGGGCTGGCCAAAAGGCGAAGCAGTAGTTTAGTCACACACGATGTAAGTACGTTTGCTGCGCACGACCGCAAGAAAAGGTTGTGGCTATCTGAAAGAGAACAGCCGCTTCGCAAAAAGAGGGCAATAAGGTCCACACACGATAGCGAAATTTTTTAACAGACGTTAGTGTGTGTTATAAAGTGTTGCCTCACACTTGTACATAATTCTTTGCAGGGACATCGGTACTTGCATTGTAGGCATCCGCCTCGCGTTGAGCGCAGACAAGCAAGCTACGCACCCCAACGTTGCAAAGGGAGCTTAAATTATTATGCATCCCAGAACAATCCTGATGGTTGGTGTACTGCTGAGGACCTCCATAAGCAGATTAGGGACGTCACCATTTAAATATCTAACGCGCATGTTCCTATTTTAAGGCCCACTTTTTCTTTGACAATGCGACTTTTCATGCGGCCTTTGCGGCCTATGATCTGTTCGCCTCACGAGTGAATCTAGGACCTGAAGGAAAGATGCCAGCAATGAGGGATGGGTCAATTCCTGATAAAGTAGCCTAATTTATGGTGTTTCCTGCCGACCACCCTCTCGCTGGGCAACCAAAGGGTTTCAAGGCTGTTTTGCACGAACGGAATCTATGGACGCAAAAAATCGTTTAATTTGCATCAATAAGTTCTCTTAAACCGGCGGTTGCTGCGCCCGCAGTGTCATCCATAATCAACTTGAATTTACAGGCAAAAAGGGCTATTGGAAGAGACTATTATCGCAGCCGGCCATCACATCAATTTTTCCCTAAGTTTAATTGCAAACTGAACTTCATCGACCTGTTCTGGGGATAATCAAAACGCCATGCTTGGAAAAATTGCGACTACACGTTCAAAGACCTTGAGCAGATCGTCCTAACATCCCTGATATTCGTCTCTCTCAACACCATCCACCGCCATGCTCGAAAGTGCTTTCGGTACATGGACGTTTATCGGAAGAACCTGACTGGAAAGACCGCCGAATACGACGTAAAGAAGTGTTGATCGCACTGTAAGTCACAACTTATTTTAAATGGATGTTAACGTTATAGCTGCTGTAAATTAAAGATTTTTTAAACATAAGAAAAAAAGGAAAATACCACAAAAAGGCTGCGCAAATATCTTTAGGGCGGCCAAATGTGCCTCGCCGCAAGCCTAGGTTAATATAATTCTCCGAGCATTAGGGTCCTATGACTTCGTGATAAACTTGTCAAATATAATTTCAACACTTAAGAAGTGAAGAAAGTAGCATACTCCAGCCATTTCTATTCTTAGATTTGTGTTTTATAGAATAGGGTGACGAGTAGCTGAGTGACAAAGATCGAAAATAGTTACAGGTTGTAGGTGGTGCGCACTATAGGTCGATTAGCAAGATACAAGTCACTCTATGGCTAGGTCAATGTTGTGATGCACACACCTAATTGGCTTAAAATTGATCAAAGGTGAATTACATACGCAATGGCTGGACGCTCTCAAGCAAAGGCAGATCGTGCGTTGCCCAAGTATACTGCGCTGTTTTACTACATACATTAACAGCATCATTCTAATTCTTCAGTGTCTGCTTTTGTGTACATTTGTGCAGCTTGATTCAGTTCTTTAAACTGAAATTCTATACCAAAAAGCGATCTTTAGAGGGCGCTCCCCTATTTCATAATTTCACCCTGTTTTCACTCGCTACCTTAATTTGCTCGCGAGACAGAAAGCCGATGGAATATCGTCTTCGGATTGGTTAGATTTGAGTGTCTCTTGTTGGACTTGGTCCAATTCGATCAAACCTCCCTCGGTCAACGAGGAGAAGATCATAAGACCAGCCAAGAAGCATTCTTTAAGCTGAATGCATACATCGGTAAGGCCAAATATGGTATTTGGCCTAAGTTTGTTATGCCTTATACGCCAGGCAAGGCACTTTCGAGTTACTACAAGTGGTCGGCGTTCGACGATGCCGTAATTGCGGTAGATGGACGCATGCAAGATCATTAAGCAAAGTGCAAGAAGCTTTCCCGCTCCAATGTCCAGATTGATGAGGGATTTCGACCGTCACGAAAGTTGGGTAAGTTGGCGTTAGTGGTGTTGTCGACGATGCATTAATCGACGGATGCTAAATGCAGTATGAGGACTGCGCCTGGTCCACAAAACCCTTCGTTGTTCTCTCCGGTTGACTTCAGCATTTCGATGTGATGCCGAAATGTCAAATGAGACAGATACACCAGCACTTTCGCTCCTGCTGTTCATCGTATGGCCATGCAATTTGTTGCCATCAAACACCGAGCATGGACAATGTTCTTCTGCAGCTGTACGGCTCTTTCACATTTCTACATAGAGCCGCAAATTGGTGGCGAGATTACGAGAGCAACATATGGAGAGGACATAAACAAATTCTGCTCAAACTATATAGATTTTTGATCGTATGCTATACTCGGGATGATGCCACGAATATGCAGAGGAAACAAGTCATTCACATCATAGCTGGCGGATCTAAGCCACTTTTCCTTGAGCATTATATAATGGAGCTGCGCAGAGAGAGCACAAATAACTTGCTTCAATTTTTTTTAATATGATGCAAACTGTGGCTCATCGGTTTTATTCGCGAGCCGGCTCCTGGTTTCTCGTTATCCATATTTAATAAAAAAAATGATATAAATTGGCGTAGAAGTGGTAGAGCAGTCAGAACAAGTACGGATATAGATCAAAAAGGAACAATTCTCTTACCCAAAAGTTTTTCGCAGCGATTTACTAAGTTTTGTACTTATGATTTTCAGATATTGCTTATAGACGATAAAATTTGGATGCACCTCTTCCAATCCATAATGTCTACATGAATTAATAATTAATTTCGACGGAGAGAAGCACGTTCAAAGCAGATTTTTTGTGGTGAAATGCATTAAGTTGTCTCACCTTTTGCTACATTTGTTCGACAAGATCTGTGTAAAAATTTAACAAGACTTACGTGCTCATTCTGTACATAACAACCCAATAGCGAACCGTTCTTTTACGCTGCGCACAGTGCTAGTACCGGTAAGACGGCGTGCGCCGCTCTACCATGTGAGATTCTAAAACCGACATCGACATTGATATACGCAACGAGCTTAAAGCTTTGAATCAGATCCTGTGTAATGGAAGGGTGTAGCTGCAATGAAGAATCTTGTGGTGGATATAAGCTTCTGTTTGACGTAAAAGGAGGGACACAAGCGTAATTTCCTGCTGTTTAAGCGTACTTCTTAACGACCTAGTACCACATTAAAACTCTCAATTGCACTTTGATGTTAGCTTTACATTTGGACGACAATGACATCGACCATACGATCAATCTAATCCACCAGCGCTTTGCGACCATTTTATAAATCCATGGTCATACATTCCTATTTAATCAATAGTTAAGCAAGTTGCGACTCTTGACCGCCGCCAGTTTAGGCGACGAATTTCTGCATTTAAGGAAACCTCGCTAAGAAGCAGTCGGAATAAGCAACCGCCCGTCTTTCAAATGTCAACGAGAGCCTGCGTCGACCAATGTTGATCCACTTTCATTGTGTGCCAAAAATACAGATGACGACGACTTCAATGATGTCAAGTTCGAACCTTCGGACTTGTAAATGTTATGTGAGGACTACTGCTACGGATACATAGAAAGAGTTTACTTTATGCTTTGCCCAAGAATCCGGCCAGATCATATGGGGGTTAACGCAATCAAAAGGCGACCAAGCGCGCTTACATCTGCTCACGCGCTTGCTTGCAACAAAATAAGAACGATACTGCGATGCCATTATTTTTAAATTAAGTCAGCTTGATCATACAATCGGAGCAACACGAGATACCAAATTTTGCAGAAAGCTACATTCGGTTCGTGGTGACGGCGAAGAAGACGCTGTAAGAGATACCGTAGAAGAGCAAGTGAATCAAGATGTAAGCATTATAGACGAATTTGACCGCCTGGTCATTTGTGGCGGCACTGAATGCATTGCTGATTATGGTTTCTCTAACTTGAAGGTGAAAGACGAGGACACTGATCTCACTTAAAATTTCTTAATTTTATAAAGCATAGTTCGGTATTATAAGGTGGCATACTTAATCATACCAAGACGTCTTTCAATTTTCATTTGTACACAAGCATACTCAGGAAGCCATCAGCTTCTGCAGGTACTCGTGCATTGTTGGTGGCTGTAATGCGTTTACTGTCACCTGATTAAAAAATTGCAAATGATAGTTGAACGTCTAATTTGGTAAAAAAAGCGTACGAGCTGCAAAAAGACCCTGTATGACTTATCGCCTTTTACTTACTTGCTTACTTGTCATGGTAGCACGTCAGTGAAAAGCACGAGTCACTAACTAGCTAAATGGGGTAAAAAGTTAAACCCGAGAAGGTCGGAATCCGCAATTGAGCCCCTTGCCGGTGGATATCAGACACAATTCATCTTCACAACGAAATGCACCAACGACCCCAAGCACGTACACGAAGTGTTTTTTTCTTCATATCAATCTTGTGCAGATGGCTTTTTGTCAGTTCGCAGTGGATAAATGAGGCATAAAAAGATCTTGTTGCCGATTGAAGATAGAGCAAGCTGAGAGAAAGAATCGTTAGCAATCGTATCATCATTACACAGCAATTTCGTTTCTCATCGCTTGTACCATCACTATGCGAATCCTTGACGCTTTCCCCATAGAATCCAAAAGGCCTCGTCAAGGCAAAGTACGACATTATTCGTTAGCCGGTAAAGCGGCAACGATTTGTGTTTAAGGGCAAATGGTAGTCAAAGGGTAAGGTAGCAATTAGAGAAATGGTAAAGCCGATCTCATTGCCCGATTTCCGGTAATTGTAGACTTGAACTATAAAGCCTGACGTAAGAGATTCTGTGTAACTTTTTGCAAGTTATGAGCTTCCCCATCTCCAACGAGTCCAAAACGGGGTGCGTCACGGAGTTCTGCCGAGTTCTGACCTCCCAGAGGGTAGAAAGCAATCTACCTAAATTCAGTGCACACGTCTTCGCTACCACATGCCAAAGATAATACATTTGTGGAGGGATCCAGTGGTGGCGGCAACGAAGACAATGACGCCGATTGTAAGACCCGCGGCTCCAACTACAAACCACCCATTCTATACATCTCGCGTAAGAATAAAAACACATTACATGATGTTTATTCAATGAGTGGTACTTTAGCTGTATGCACACAAATAAAGCTTCTATTTATTATTGTAATAAAAGTACTTATTTCTATAGGTTTCCTTCGCCTATGGATGGCAGCCGGTATCCTTAAGTGCCGGAGGATTGAGCGCAAGCTGCAGACGCACTCGTACATCCTGGCGCAAACAGCGTGTAACGGGGTTGCCCGTTACATGATCTTGACACCAAATGGTGTCAATAGGGAGATTGTCTAGCGTGACAATCGCCCGCCAATATTACCCGAGATAGGTAATTCTGAAGGATTATTATCCCTTTGAGTAAAATTCACGTGCTTCTCGAAGATTGGTTGATAAAAGACAGATCAACCAAGATTGCCACCAATTAATCGCTGCTGGACGCGCTCAATGAGTGGTGAGCAGGTTGTCGTCATACGACGACGTAGTTTAGTAGAGTTCGATAAAGATTAGCTTTATATTGATAGCTTAAAAATATTAAATACAGTTCTCTTTTTACCCATTAATCAACATAGTTGTTGAGTAGACTATCTTCCTTTGCACGTACTAGCGTACGTGAAATTTGTGGCACCCGGACAAAGAGTGCCCCGTTACACCTGGTAGCACTTTGTACTCCGTCCAACGACTACTTAGTGTCCGTCCAACATGAACATATTGGAGGTAGAAGACGGCAGTTTTCACGTCACACGTGAAGGCTACTCCAATCTGAGTGACTCAGAATGGGAGCCAGTCGGCCGCATGAGTGTGCTCATGGGCGAACCCGCCATCAGTGGCATGTTGGAGTCTCTAAGTCGAGACCAACAACATGCTGCTATCAACAAGTTCCTACAAGGGGAACTTGCCGTCGAGCGACAGAAGATAGCCTTGCTACAGCATCAAGACTCTCATCAGTCGATGGGCGGACCGACGCACACGCGTCAACCCGAAACCTTGAAGATTGATATCTCAAGGACAATGAAAACGATGAAGATTCCTTTTTGAGATGGTTCGTCGAGTTAGACGATGCCATCAGGGCCCGTCACATCGAGGGTGACGAGATGCAAGTCACCTTCGCCCTGTCAAATTTGACGGGACGAGCAAAGACTTGGGCATTAGGGCTCAAGCTTCACGACCCAAACGTGTTTAAGTCGTTGAAGATCTTGAAGTCTCGGCTCAAAGAGACGTTTGGGCCGCCAAGATCCAAGTTCAGATCACGCTCTGCACTCTTGAGACTCAAGCAAGGTAGGCGTGATGTGCACGCTTACGCACAACACCTACGCTACCTTGCGAGTAGCGTTGCGGAGAACCCTATACATGAGCACACGCTCATCAACGTGGTCATCTACGGCCTTGTGGATGGACCGGTAAAGACCTATATGTTCCAAGAGGACTTCCATACGCGGGAAAATGCGATAGCGTATGCGGAAAATGAAGACTTCATCCTAAGACAGTCTCAGGCTAACTCGTCAAACTATCGATCGACGAGACGACAGGGAACAGGACGTCCCGAAACAATGGACCTCTGTTACATCGAGAGCGAGAACTCTCTCTCTCTGAGTCACAAGCGAACGGCAAGATGCCATCGCTGTCAGAAGATTGGACACTACTCTTACGAGTGTAGTGTCTTAGGCACCGCAACACGTTCAACGACAGGACGTGATGACCACCGTTCGCCAAGGAAAGGTCCGAGGTGTGGGTCTGACCATGTCGCTAGATCGCGACAGAAAGTCGGACCTAAAAAAAAGGTCAGGGTCAGTAGGGGCGGAGCACCCTGCTGATCCAGCAACGTCAAGAGAATTTGCAGGACTATTGACGAAGATTGCTCCCAACACACAGTCTCTGTGTGTTACTGCCCTTAGTGATGAGGAGTCTCTCATCACTTTGAAGATCGAAGTGACAAGTGGAGTGTCACTTCGCGCACTAGTTGACTGTAGGGCGTTGAACACTTTTATCGACGCCAGTCGCTAAGGGACAGTAGTCTCAACTGTGTTGAGCGAGAGTTCCCTCCAACGAGGATAAAGGTGTGACTTGCAACAGGCGCATCCGTAACAGTGAACAAACGTTTAGTGGCGATCCACTACACGCTAGAAGGAAGGCAGTACGATGATGACTTTGTCGTATTAGATTTGGATGACAGATTTGATGTCATCCTTGAAATATCGTGACTCAGAAGGTACGAACCACGGGTTAACTGGCAACATCTATCCGTGAAGATGCCTGCCGCTTGTTCATCAGATGGCCATTTGATGAATGTCTTGGAGCGTCCACAAGCGTGTGGATGTACTACGAGTGAGTGCGGTGGCCTCACTTGTGTAACGGTCGTTACTACGATTGCACAAGATCACAGTGTAGAAGCCCACTGCACTGTGGAACCAGCTTCCGGCACCTGTGTAGAGACACAGGCTGCGCCGAAGGTTCACCATTCGAAGAGATCGCGTGGACTAGAACACGGACGCACACCAAGAATGGTGGCATCCGAGAAGAGAGCTTTGTGTTGTTCAGGATGGAAAACACGTTGAAGCGAGATCGACTATCAGAGAGTCGATCGTAGAGCAAGCCCGATCGACTGAAAGAGAGTCGATCGAAGAGAACGTGACTGTGGTAGTACACCCACAGTCAGTACACGCATTGGAAGAAAGTTCCAGCGTTCCTGAGAGTGATAACTCCCGAGTGAGTTACGTTGAGGGTGTGGATCCCCAACCACCTGCGGATGTGTTTTCCCAGGAAATCACCAAGTCAGTTAATGTCCTGCTTGGTGAATGACGAATCAAGTGCAGGCGCTTATTCTCTAGTTCTAGTTATGCCCCCGAAGTAAGCTTCGGAGGTAATCAAGTTGCCCACGCTAGAATCTAAAAGATTCTTCTGAGTTTTGCGTAGTCACAAGATCAAGAAGATCTGCGTGCTTGTCACAGAGGAGGAGTACGTCGACAATTTTCGGTCGGCACAAGTGTTTGCTGAGAACGAACGGGTTTTCAGTAGCACATCGATGGTTGAAAGTGTCCTCGATGAGTAGACTTTGATTGAGCGATAAACGTCTCAATCTTGGGAGTCTTTCTAAACAAATCCTTTGTATAAGGATTCGGTCGAATCCAGGGATGTTTCCCCTGAATCCGTGCCATGCGAGCTGCCTAAGGACAATTGCACTTGGCATGAGATTGAACCGAAACCCAGTTTGAAGTACTTTGTCAGGAAGCAGTGTCCACTGCCTCGTGAACAGGTCACATCGATCAACAATCCTTTGCCGATTGTTTAGAGGCTGGTCATGTGATGGAATCAACACCCCCACACAGCTCTTCGACCTTCTATGTGCTAAAGGCCACAGGAGGGTGGCGGATAGTGCACGTGTTCAACAAATTGAACGCTGCAAAGGTACCGGCTAAAACGCCGATAATAAGGTAGGACGTCATCATAGAGAGTATGGCAAAAAGTACCATCTTCTCATCCATGGATCGGATGGAAAGATTCTATCAGATCCTTATGCGTGAACGGGACATCCCGTACACAGCAGTGAGCACCCCCAGTGGTATACTCTGGGAGTGGCTAGTGATGCCACAGGGGCTAAGTAACGCCCCCGCAACGTTTTACAGATGTGTTACAAATCTATTGCGATCGGTGCGAGATTTTGCACCGAGTTACTTCGATGATGTCTTCGTCCATAGCCGGGCTATGGATGGAAAGACGGACGTGGAGGCTCATAGAAATCCACGCCCGGAAGGTTCTTACACTAATGCGAGAGCATTAGTTGTTCGCGAACCTCAAGAAGTGTGTATTCGCAGCGAAAGAAATACCACTTCTTGGCTGCATCGTGGGTAAAACCGGTGTACGCCCTGATCCGGAAAAGATCAAGGCGATTAGCGACTGGATTGTTCCAGTAGACGTCAAGGGACTTCGAAAGTTCCTTGGCTTGGCGGCGTACTTGCACAAATACTCATGCAACTATGCCGAGACGACCGTGTATCTCTCTCGTCGGTAAAGAAAAATGAGAGGTTGTCGTGGAGCGCTGAGTGTCAGCACTCTGTTTAAGGCATCAAGAAAAGCTTGGTGCAATCGCCTGTGTTGGCGCTTGCAGACCAGGATAGACCATTCCATGTATTCTGTGACGCCAGCGATTTTGCAATCGGCTGCGCGTTAATGCAGTGCGACTCAGACGGCGTTGAGAGCGTCATCTGTAATCAATCGCGCCAGATGCAAGTAGCTAAGCAAAATTATCCGATTCATGACAAGGAACTCCTTGCCATGAAATATACACTGGCCAAGTTTCGGGCATATCTCTTAGGAGATAGGCCCTTAATCGTTTATATCGACCATGCGTCGTTACGCACGGCCGTAAACAGTCCAGACCTCTCACAACGAATGACGAGGTAGATGTCATTCTTCGCTGTGTACAACTTCTCCATCGAGTACAAACCAGCACGACTCTATGTCATCGCTGATGCTCTTTCGCGTCGGCCCGATTTCAAGCTGACTGCCCAACACAACAGTAAAAGTGATCCCACTGTAGCGACACTAACAGTGAGTGTTCCGTCGTCGAATCTGCTCGAAAACGTGCTAAAAGCATACGCAGAAGATGAATCTCTTCTGCGATTCATTTATTACGTATCCAAGCCATGCCGTCAACCTTTGAAAAGCTTGACGTCTCAATACCGCTATTCAACCGAACGGTATTCTGTTCGTGGTGAATGGCTGTACTGTACAGCAGTCAACGGTGACACACCTCGTGTTGTCGTTCCCGTTCATAACGATTTGTGATTGTTCATCATGTGTGAGCGTCTCGGTACCCCAAAAAGTAGGCATCGCGGTCGAGAAAAGACTTACCTCACGGTGATTCGTGACTTCAACTGGCCCCGCCAGTATGAGTTTGTGCGCAAATACATTCGCGCTTGCGGAGTTTGTCAACGGGTGGTGCCCAGTCCTGTTTACCGCGCACCCTTGCAGCATCTCCTGATTCCGGCAGAGTGTTGGCAGTCCGTATCGATGCACTTCGTCTTCGGGTTTCCCAAAGACGCTCACGAGAATACTAGTATTCTTGTGTTTGTTGATAGGTTCAGCAAGATGGTACATCTTGTTGCTGTGCCGGAGTCAATCACAGGCCAGGGATGTGCTCATGTCTTTATCGATACTATCTTCCGACTTCACGCGTTACCCCGTGAACTCGTGTCCGATAGGGACCCCCGCTTCACAGCAGAGTTCTGGCAATCCGTGTTCCGTACCTTTGGAACACGTTCGAAGATGACGACTTCTGACTATTTAGAAACATACGGTCAGACGGAACGCGTCAACCGCGTCCTCGAAGAGATACTTTGGGGGTACGTACAGTCTTTTGCGAGTTGGGGTAAATTATTGGCGATCGCGGAATTCTTTATCAGCAAGTACATGCATGCGTCGACAACGCATAAACCGTTCATCGTGAATGGCTTAGGCCATCCACGTTTACCCGCCTTCTTAGAGTGTGACTCTAGTTTGAGGGGTTGGACTCGCATAAACCAAAATTGATCTGATTCTCGCTAGCCACACGGCGACAATGATGTCAAGGTGATGGATGTTGATGTCGATGTGATCGACATCGACGTTGATGACGACGATGACGGTTTATTCAGCAAGACCAACGACTGCTACAGTGAAGACGAAGACACCCTCCCTGATGATGACAACGTTCTTTCAGCAGTGCGCTTTGTGCGCACTGCTGTAGACAAGAATGAATCAGCAGAGGAATTCCTGCTGACTCGCGAAGCGGTTGTCCGCTTCGTTCAAGAATCTATTGCAGATGCATTAGACAGACAGAAGATAAACGCAGACAATTACGGAAGAGAAAGCGCCTCTTCATATAACAAAGGAGACTTAGTTATACTGTCAAAAGTAAATCTACCGAAACTCGCAGTGACAAACGTGAGTAGCAGTTTATTACTGCCCAAGTACATCGGTCCATTTCGTGTGCTGCGCCGAATGGGCAAAGCATACACGATTGCACTGACTCGTAGGATGCGTACGCATCCTACGTTTTA